ACAGCTCAATTTCCAGCAAGAACATCAGAAGCCACAGGTAGGAAACAGAAGAGAGAATGTCAGAGTCTGACCCCCACACTCCACTGTGCCCCCTCCCAAAGTGATGATGAGGAAGAAAATGGGTCAGATGTCTTGGAATAGAAGCGAGCATTGGAGAACCTGCTAAATTTTGTGTACTCCAGAGTACCAAGGTCCCCATCTAGGAAAACATGACAGGAAACATGACCATGAATCAGCTGCCTGATAAAACAGCCAGGATGGAGCCCACGTCATCACAGGATTCAACAATGTCATTGAAAAACATCAGCTGTTTATTCCAGTATATAAAGACGTAAGGTTCAAAGAGAATGCGCTAGATAACCTTGGAAGTCACGTTATTAGTCATGTGTTTAATTATATCAGCCCCCCCCACCACACACACACACCAAGAATTATTCCCAAAGTGCATCACAACGAAGTCGTTTTATAACTTGCTGCTAGTTTCTCATGATGTATAGAATCTTGTTCAAAGCATAGAGCTAGATCTGCCCATCGGGGCTTTTACATCTAAACCAATTCAGAAAATTCTTCTTGACTCCCTAGCAGGAGAAAGTACTGTACCGGACACCAGGTCCAACACAACACGGCCCTGACCTCAAAGGACTCATTACCACTAGAGCTCTGTTGGCCCCCGTAGCTACCAGCAGCTCCATAAAATTTAAAACTTGTGCTTATGATGCATTTGTGATATCTTTTAGTATTCCATAGCTACGTGAGATCACTGGCCACCATGCTGGGCAGGGCAGACAGAGAACAAGTCAGTCACTGCAGAAAATTTTCTCTAGGCTATGTGGCTCTTGGGCAGGAGACCTCCACTAATGTCAGGACTTTGTGGACGGCCTATGGCATACTCTCAAAGAACTGTGGGGCACAGCCACGCCTGCGCGGGAACTTTCAAACCCCACCCTGAGGACATGCGTAGATTTGCTTCTAACTTCTGTTGGAAGTAAGGCAAGGTTCTCCACACTTCTGGTCCCATCTGTTTCTGATAAAGCGAGGACAGCAGACCATAAGACTGAAGACATTTCATCCCAGGGCTTTGTGAAGTCAAGTGAATTGCTAAGAATATTCTCGGGGTAATATCCACTGCTAAAAAAAACCAAAAACAAAAACAAACAAAAACAGAAATGCTTAGAACAGCTTTCATCTCCCCAGATCATTTTGACTTTATTTTAGAAATTTAATTTCAAAATGATTCTAATTGCCATTTGTTTGTTTGTTTGGTTTTTGTTTTTTGGAGACAGGGTTTCTCTGTATAAAAATCCTAGCTGTCCTGGAACTAGCCCTCATAGACGAGGCTGGCCTCACCTCGAACTCACAGAGATCCACCTGCCTCTGCCTTCCAAGTTCTGGGATTAGAGGTGTGCCCCACCACTGCCCAGCTTGTTTGTTTTATTAAGATGATTTTTTAAAATTTTTATGGTAGTAACATAGTCTGGTAACTCAACTCATGTCTACAATGTTAAGAACCGAAATAAGGAAGAACATTTCTCCCTTTTCAACCACTAATCTTTGCTCTGTTGGAAATGCCATTCTCCCCTAGTCACTGTGAGAAACATCACAGGTTGTCTTAACCAATAATTACTCTACTGTGCTGAAAGAAAACCCAAAGTAAATCCTCCATTCTCTTTTGGCACTCCATATTGAATTTCTTTCTGTACCTAATTTCTCCTACACCCGCCCCCTCCCCAAGTCTCTAGCAAACACTATTTTATTTTTATGCAGGTCTGACTTACTAGTCCCCTCAGTGAGTGTGAAGATGTGACATTTGCCTGTGTCTAGTGTATCTTATTTAAACACACGCCAGTTGTTAACTTGACAAACAGCCAGAATGGGATTATTTATTGCTTATCTTTGTCAAACCTGTCAAATTTAAACATGTGTTCCGGGGTTTGGTTTGGTTTTTTGTTGTTTTGTTGTTGTTTGTATTTTTGAGACAGGGTTTCTCTGTGTAGCTCTGGCTCTCGTGGAATCCACCCTGTAGACCAGGCTGGCCTCGAACTCATAGAGATCCACCTACCTCTGACTACTGAGTGCTGGGATTAAAGTGTGTCACCACTGCCAAGCTAGTAAACACTTATATTCTGTTAACTCAGTCCCGAAGCCTCCTTGCCCAAACAGCAATTGCCAAACCTGTCTCCCATAGTGGTGCTGCTGGGTTAATTACTGACCAATGACTGCAGACTGGCTTCTCCAGCTGCCAGAGGGTTTATGCACTAGACACCACACACGCACACACAAAACTGAATAATATAAGCTGTTTCTGCCAGGAAGAAATGAAAACTCCTTGGTGTGTGATCTACTGAAGTCCTTTGGCTTGTTTTAGGACTGGCCAGTGTTAATCTTAGCGATTAAGTCCTGTTTGCAAGGCAATGATTGACTGAAGAAAACCTATTTCCTTTAGCTCTGTGATGTATCTATTCTTACTTGTATTTCTTAAAGAAATACCAATCCAATTTCCTTTTCAACCACGTGAGTTCTTTAAGCCTTGGCCCTGTTGATATTCTCACCCACCCATGTTTCTCCAGGCCCTTATCAGTTAGAAAATAGATTGCTTTGTTTTCTTCACTTTTATCAAGAACACTGAGACGATCCCATGGGAGCCTGTCCCAGGGCACTGAGCCTAGGCAGGACAATGAGTTCAGAAAACCCAGGAATGGTAGGTTTGTAACACCTTGGGGTTCAGGTACACCCCCCTCATAAGAAACTTCTGTGCTGTGCTTTCATACTCTGGGGTAGGCTTTGGATAGGATGGGTTACAAGGAGTGAACGGAGTCTGCTTGCTCCTTGCCAACGCAGTAGAGCTTAGTTCTCTGCTACAAGCTGTTTGTGTTTCTGGTTTCTTAATTTCTCCTTAATCAAGTGAACAGGGGTTTGATACTTCACCCTACCACTCCTGGGAAGTTTTTAGTGCTCTAGAGCAGGGGTTCTCAACTTTCCTAATACATCAGCCCTTTAATACAGCTCCCCATGTTGTGGTGACACCCTCCACACACACACACACACCATAAAATTATTTCATTGCTGCTTCTTAACTATAATTTTACTACTGTTATGAATTGTAATATCTGATTTGCAAGATATCTGATATGCAATCCCAAGGGGATTGTGACCCACAGGTTGAGAACCAATGCTCTAGAGCCTAACTTTCCTGGGCTACCAGGTGAGGATAAACAATATTCATTGTTCCACTTATAGGACTCTAGGGAGCACCTGGAGGACTCCCTCATCAGCCACACCATGCTGGATGTGCAGTGTAGGCTATCCTTCTGGGCCCTGGTGTGCAGGGAGACCCTCTGGGCTGGAGCTGGACCCCAGTTCTACCCTTAACTCAGCATCTCTGCAGCTTCTTCCACAGCACGGGAAAGGTTCCATCTGACTTTCAGGCTCCCCTGGAATTAACTGAGTCTGAATGCACTCAGCGGTGTATCCTAGTGTTCTCTGACGCATCCCGATTATTTTCTGATCCATTTCTGCTTAAAACCCCACAGCGGCCTTACTGTGTTCTAGGGATTGTCTGGAGTGCTCCTGGTTTTAGCCTTCAGCCCCTGTCCTGAGAAACCCCTCAGTTGGCCAGCAACATCCCAAAATCCAGCAGAGTAAAGGATCTGGACCCAAGCACTCGCCACTTCTCGCCCAGTGCTCTTCTCTGTGTTTTGCGACTATCTGGGGAGGGTTTTTCTTTTTGTTTTGTTGTTTTTGGTTTGGGGTTTTATCAAAATGTTGGTGCCCTGGCCTTGCCTCTCAAGATTCTGAAATAGAGCTTTTGGCGTCCTTTTAAAGCTAGCCAGTGCTCCAAAGCTTGAAGGAGGACGGCGACCACTGCTCTGCTCTTGCAGGTCCCCAGAGACCCCAGTACTGCTCCCTGTGGTCAAGCTGACCTCCATTTCCTTTCCTCTGCCTGTTTTCTATCTGCTTCCTCCTCAGGCCTCTTCCTCCAGGCAGCCTTCCTGGGTCCCTCCCAGGAGACCGGGTCCTCCTCTGGAAGTCCTGAGTTTTTCAGGCTAGCCTCCCTGTCATTCCACCCTGCACTTCTTGGTTTACGACAATCTCTCCCTCATCAGGTTTGAATTTGTTTCAGGAAGAGATTGTTATCTTCTCCCCTTGTACCCGTGGAGCCAGGCAGGCTCTGGCATGTTGCATACACTCGGTAAATATTCGTCGAACAAATTAATCAAGACAGGGCCATCTGACCTCTTGTGAGTTAAGTTCTAAGAATCATGGACACAAAACCCCCAGTGTAAAACAAATACCAGTACAATATAATTACTTCAGTAAGTCTCTACAAGTGGGGACCCCGAATCCATCTAAAAGAAATTCTTAATTTTGTTCTTTTATAGTTCTCTCTCTCTCTCTCTCTCTCTCTCTCTCTCTCCCCCCCCCCCCAAGAAGAGAGAGAAAAAGGACATTGGGATAATTCCGCTCTCATCATAAGGTTGTAAATGGCAGTGATTTCTCAGATGAAATCCTTTTGGCCGCCTGCTTCTTTGCTTTCTTCTTCCTGGTTCGTCCCTCAGCTGGCTAGCCTGTGTGTGTTTGGAGAGAGCCAGGAAGGTTCAACGCCAGGAATGTTTCTCTCTTTAAAGCTCTTTTATCCTCAGGCGTTCTGATCTTCAAAGCAGCCAGTGTCCACCGTGACCCCACTCCCTTGCCTCCCCACGCTGGGGAGTGAGAGCCTTGAGGATTTGTGTCATTTTGAGGCCTTGCATATTTGGACCGCCTTGGCCACTGGGTAGCACGGTCTCTGTTAACTCTTCAGGGATAAGGGCCTGCCATCATTTCCAGGACCCTTGCACCCCTGAACCTAGGCTTATGAAGAAATTAATGCCAGACCCTGGAGTTACACAAATATTAGCTACATAGGTCTTTTTGTGGGGAGCCTATCCCTTGGCCAGTAGTGTTTCTTCTGTCTCGTCTGCAATTAAGCCTCATACTCTCTCCACCTGTGTGATTTTCCGCAGTGCCTGGTTCTGGATAAATTTGAAAGCTATGATGATGAAGTTCAGCTCATCCAGCGAGCCCTGTCTCTCCTGGAGGAAAACAGGTTCTGGGCTGGAGTGGTATTCCCTGACATGTACCCCTGGACCAGCTCCCTGCCTCCCCATGTGAAGTACAAGATTCGGATGGACATAGATGTGGTGGAGAAGACCAATAAGATCAAAGACAGGTGATGGTTCAGTCAGGGCTCACGGGGTTTCTTCCCCATCCACAGTGAACTGTGTTCAGTAGAGAGGGGAGGATTAAGGATGAACGCAGCCCATAAATCAATGAAGATAAGCTGAATGGGAGGAGGGCTGATTGATTTGAGCAGACCCAAGTAGATGGAGCAATCACCTTGTGATTCCCAGACATTGCTGGAGTTATTCCTGTGATCCAAACTGGATAACCTGGGAACATTGAGGACAGTGGTTCTCAACCTGTGGGTCGCGAGCACAACAACCCTTTCACAGGGGCTGCAGGTCAGATATTCTGGATATCAGCTATGATTTGCAACAGTAGTAAAATTATAGTTAAGAAGTAGTAGCAAAAATAATTGTATGGTTGGGGGTCACCACCTGAGGAACTGTGTTAAAGGGTGGCAGCATTAGGAAGGCCAAGAACCATTGATTGAGGAGACTGTTTCAAGAGACTGAGCTCTAGGGTAAGTTTTGCTTGTAAAATGAGTGGGTTGCCCATCCGCACTTACATCCTTCCTCCCTTCCTCCTACGCCTTTTTCAGGTACTGGGATTCTGGTCCTAGGGCAGATCCTGTCGAAGACCTGCGGTACATCTGGGGAGGCTTTGCCTACCTACAGGACATGGTTGAACAAGGAATCACCAGGAGCCAGACCCAGGCAGACGTTCCAATTGGAGTCTATCTCCAGCAGATGCCTTATCCCTGCTTCGTGGATGACTCGTGAGTCCCAGGCACCTATCTTCCTCCCTGAGCTGAATAAACCAGGATGCTCTCCAGGCTTCAGTGGCTCCCAAAGGAACGCCGGGGACTGGGACCAGACTGGGCAGACTAGGTTTCTGACTGGAGAAGCTGCTGGCTCCAAGCTCCAGACAGAAGCAGAGGAGAAAGTAAAATGGGAAGGTGTGGGGGTACAAAAGGGACATCAGAGGTTAGAACATTAGGAGTGAAGTTGGAGGAGGAGATGCCCGCTGTTTAAATTTCCTCTTTGCGGTATGCTTGCTATGTGGAAGGTTCTGGTCGGAGCGTTTGCCCACTGACTGCCAGATCGGCACATTTGGGCTACATGGCCAGTAGGTCTGGTTCCTAGGAGCCTCAGAATCACACGGCTCCTTCCCTAATTAACATTCCTATGATGTATGTTTGGGGAAAAGGTAAAGGAATGTGTAGGATGAGCTCTGGCCTCCTTCTCTGACCTCCCCCATCCTAAAGCTTGGCCTTTCCTTTGGCTCGTAGCATGCTAAGCAGCAAACAGCCCACTGTTTTGTTGAAAATGGGTTTTCAGAGCGCTGGAGGAAAAGACAGAAAAGAAGAGGTGCTCAGAGGCTTATCACCATGGTAGATGAATCAGAAACACTCCCTCAGCTATAGTTGGCTTAGGAATTTAGGTCCTGGGGTGTTGGGAAGTCACTTGTAGCCCATGTATGTGGCTGTGGGGTTCAGGAAGCAGAGACAGCAGAATGCAAAGGAAAGAGTCCAGTTACCAGGTGGCGTGGTTGGAAAGAAAATAAAGGCCAGCGTGCGTGCGCACAGGAAAGCCGCTCTCAACGCTGTGGCCCCATCAGTTCTCCAGCTCGACGGCGGAAGACGGCCGAGATAACAGTGGCTGTTCTGCCGTGAGCTTTCCGTTGGATAAGAAGCAGAGATGAGAAGTGGAGCCAAGGGCAAAAACCCAGGTCCACTTTCAGGTCACAGAGGGAGGGGCTGGCAGGGAACCCGGTAGGTGTTGAGAGGCAGTGGGTGGGACTCGGGGTCATTCAGTACGGGAGAGTCCTCTGGTGGCTAACCCCGAAAGTGCATGCTTTTCGGTTGTTTGGCTCTTTCCCTAGGGCCATTTTGAGTGAAACTCTCCTCCCACGCTGGCACTGGGCCCTTCCTGTGACAACACCCAACAGTTTCAATAGATAATAATCCCAAGGGCTTTACTAGTGCGCCATTCCCAGGGAAAACCTGTAAAGCTCACCCTAACTTGAGTTCTTCGTGTCAAATGCATCTCGCTTGCTGAGATTGGATCCCAGGATGGAGCTGCTCCACTTGTGCCCGGCTGATGGAAGCAGTGACGATGGGATCACTGATTTCTTCCAGTCACCACCTGTGGCAACCGGTCTGCAGTCTTTCCCACAATCCTTTGCAGTCACGGTCTATCCTATACGACCGAGGTGGTATAGTTTTATTCCTGCACTTAGGGAGCATTCATCTGGGTGGTCTGGAAAGACAAGGTGGCAAGTGCGGAAGATATTTTTTTAAAGTTCAACCTAGCGTAGGTCCCATGATTTATTTTTCTGCTTTCCTTTCCTTTGGACTTCATTCTCAACTCTTCGTTGGATAAGTATTTCCTTCATCTCTCCCAGGTACAAAACGCTCTGTTCTGTTTCCCCTCCCTCTTTTAGCTTTATGATCATCCTGAACCGCTGTTTCCCCATCTTCATGGTACTGGCGTGGATCTACTCTGTCTCCATGACTGTCAAGGGCATTGTCTTGGAGAAGGAGCTGAGGCTGAAGGAGACCTTGAAGAACCAGGGTGTCTCTAATGCTGTGATTTGGTGTGCCTGGTTCCTGGACAGCTTCTCCATCATGTCAATGAGCATCTTCCTCCTGACGCTCTTCATCATGGTAAGCCAGGTGGAGCAGACCCTGACATTTTTAAGGGTTCCATTGTCCCTGGTCTCCTCCTGCTAATGTTTGTGTGCCTGGGCTAGTTATCTGAGCGCAAAAGGTAGCACCCCAGCTTTTCAAGCCAGGTAGAACACTTGGAGAGCCAGCACCCCCAACCTCCCTAAAAGAGCCCTTCTGTGGTGACATCTTCCCCTTCTAGCCCGAGGGAACTCACTCCTTGCCCATATAGGCTTCCCAGTCCATTTCATGACCACGTAGAGAGGTTGCTATTACCAAAGCCCAGTATGGGACTGTTGTGTGTTCAAAGGTTGCCTCTTCTTTCAGAGACAAACATGAGTCTAAAGAGTGTTTCCTAGAATTTCCATTCCAATATCCAGCTATAGTTAGGATGAGGCAAACACTGCCAATGATTTGAGGGAATGAGATCTGGACAAATTATCAACCACCCCCATGGCCAGGGCATTAGCTTCCCCAAGTGACAACCTTCTGCCTGCAAAGATCTCCAAGGACTCTTGTTTTAAAGGATGGAATTTGGAGCCTGACCTTTCTCAGTGATAAGGAGTTTTTATTGCCATGGAGCAAGTCATTCAATTTTCTGCAAGTCTGAGACTCCTCTGCAAGCCAGAACTGAAAATAAAACATTGTTTCACAATTCACTGCTAGCCTAAATATTTTGAGTCCCATCACAGAAGAAGATTTTTTTTTGGACTTGTTGAAATATGAATACACACATTTGATATTTTTTGGTGTTTTATGGATGGAAGTCGGTTTCTGATATCAGTTCAGCAAGCTTGTTCAACTTCATCACTGCCACCATATCGGGTACCACTCTACCCGTGTGCAGTGGGCCGGACGACACGAGTGTCTCCCATCCCTTGGTGGATCATGGCTACCTGATCTAAGACTGTTTCATCATATATCCAAACCAACAGGGACATATCCATTTAATCCAAATCGTGCCTTTATTTTCTACTAAAATATCCTCAACCTTTCAACCTAGTGCGTCCTATCTTTGCTGCTGTTATATTATGACCCGGTGAGCTATGGTGGGGCACAAACACCATGTTAGAGTCCCCTCCAAAACAATGTCGAGGTGGAGGTCACTCTACCCAAACAACCTCACCCCACCCAGCATGGCTTGATGTTTACAAAGGATACCAAAGCTCTGCCGTGGTGAGAGGAGCCGCCACTCCCTCCTTATCCACCAGGCGCCCTCTGCTCTGCCCATCCCTCAGCCTGTGCCTTTCCCCAGTCGGTGTTTTGTACCCTTAGAATTAAAGGACTCAGTGAGTAAACATGAGAATGAATGGCCTCGGCTGGCCCTGCCTTCTTACTGATAAGTGGCCCTGAGATCTGCCTCCCTGAGAATGGGTTTTTAGGACTTCAAAGCTTTTAGGACGTGAGGTAAGGAATGTTCACTGAGAGCTCCTAGCACAGGGAAGCTTCTCCTTGTGGGAACCAGGACACTGTTCCAATAATGACGGGAAACAGAGCTTTTCCACACCAAAATAAGGTCTTCCTTTGAATGACTCCCCCTTTTTTTGCATGGCCCTTCCTCCCCAGCACCACTGTGCAGGAAAGAAGCTGGAAGCAGGAACAATGGGAAGGTTCCATTGTTCTTCAGTCTACAAGGAGCAGAAAGGAAAGTGGCCAGTGGAGGAAGCTGGGTCCGGGAAGTGGTGAGGCTGGCTGAATGACTGGCACCCCTGTTTGAAAGCCACCAGAATGCCCACAGTCTAGATGTTTGCGGGACTTTGCTCTGGGCTCAGATAAGACGTTGAATTCATTCTACAGAGAACAGTAACGACTCTCGAGTTTTGTGACCTTTATTTCGATTTCCTCAGACGTAGGTTGGCTTTAAGTGTGGCTCCCATCTATCCCTCCCTTTTGCGTAGTTCCCCCTCATCTGTTTTTCAATCTGTTCCTTCAATGCCCAACAGGCACGAGAGCATGAAGGAGAAACGGTGGCTGGAGCAGATAAGGAGACCATTAGTTCCACTTGGTTCTCACTGGCGCAAAACAGATGTCATTAGTTGGCCTCTCTCTTTTCTGCTGAGAGAAAAGCAGTGGTTCAGGGAGCCCCTACCTGTAGAGAGCCCATTCATGAATTGAGGCAGAGTTCCAAAGGATGGGGGAACACGGAGAAAAAGGCAGAAAGGAGAGCATGAGGACTTTTGGTCTTGGGAACACTATGCTGTGTGACATGTCTGTGTTCCCCATTACACGAGAACTCAACTATGTCCCATTGAATATATGGAGGTGGCCAAGTGGGTACCGACTCTGAAGCCTGAGACATACTCCCAATGTCTACTCCTTGTACCTTTGTGTTCCTGAGGAAAGAATGGGCTAACCTATAAGTATTTGGGGATGCAGAATTTGGATGGAGCAAAGATGCTGGCCTCTTTATGGAGCTTGTAGTGATGGAGATGAAGGAGGTCTAATACAGTTGAACATCTCGGTCTGTCCTACAGTGTAATCAGGCAGCAGCTTGTTCAGAAAGCGTCATTAGTTTGTTCCTATTTTCTATAAAGACAATGGAAGACACTAAATCTTGTACATAACGTAGGTTCTATGAGAAGCACAGCATTCATGGATGAGGAGTAATAATCCACTTCTAAACACTCTGGACCCGTTACTGATGCTCCCACCTGTGTGAGTGACGAGCCTCAGGAAGCCTGCGCTGATGGTCAGTCAGCAGGCTGAGCCCCAGGCAAAGAGCCAGGCTTGTTTGGGTGGCCTCCCCTTCTTTGTGGTTGCAGGGGGCTGGTGATACTGCAAGACCTAACATACAGGTCTTCTTTCCATGCCCGAACACAATGTCCTTCCCACCGTGAACTTGCTGAGTTGACCCATAGAGCTATTGGCAATTGAGGGACACTGAGGGACCCCATCAGAAGAACTATGGGAAGTTGAGGAATACTGGGGGCAGGACAGTCACCATCCTTTAGGGATCTGGCTGCTCGTGGGTTGTTCATGTTCCAGTGGATGTTCACACATCCATGCGCATATGTCTTCTGATGGGGTCCCTCTGTATCCCTCAACTGCCAGTAGCTCCTCTCTGGGTCCGCTTCTGTCCATGCTGGAACACTGGCTGCCTGGGCCTTATGTAGGTATCTACAGCTGCTGTGTGGGCCACAACCACGTGTCTAGAGGACACACCACAGTTCTCTCCATCTGCCAGCTCTTCCGTCCCTCACATGCCCTCAACCATGAAGTTCCCTGCGCCTAGGAAGGTGGGAGATTGAGAGCTGACCCACTCACAGCTGAGAACTCAGAGCTATTTATCCTGGGTACTTTGACCAGTTCTGAGTCACTACATGAGCTGCTACCCTCAGCGAAGGTAGGACCACAAAGTTGAAGGCAACACATCTATGGGTACAAACAGAAATATTTCGAACGCAGTTTGATGAAAATGACCCCTTAGGAAAATGATAGTAGGTTCTTACCCTGGGGCTTATTATCACCCCATCATGGGCTCTTGACCAGCTTTCCAGGACCATCAATGGCTCATGAGCCAGACCACAAGTGGCTCAGGACTCCACTGAAGGAGTGAGGAAACGTGACAAAGAAAATCTTGATTGCTTAAAGTCCCCACTTAGAGCTTAGTAGGCAGTTGCTGACTGGGTTAAATTACTTGGCAGTTGGGTTTTGGTTTACTGGTATAGGAGTCCAAATCGCTGGAGCTGGCTCAGGCTAGTGGCTTCCCAGTTAAGTTTTTAAAAATAAAACATTAGTGTTGCCTAATGGGCATGGGGAAGACAGAAGAACTCCACACATTTGAGTGTGTATGTAGAAGTCTAAGCACTAGCAACTGGCTGCAGGGGCCCCTTCTAAGACAGCAGAAGGCTTCAGAAGGCATCACTACACAAGGACCCTGCCTCTGGGCATGGCTGGGAATTATTGATACACAATCTCTCTGGTTTCAGCATGGGAGAATCCTCCATTACAGCGATCCCTTCATCCTCTTCCTGTTTCTGCTGGCCTTCTCCACGGCAACCATCATGCAATGCTTCCTCTTTAGTACTTTCTTCTCCAAGGCCAGCCTCGCAGCCGCTTGCAGTGGGGTCATCTACTTCACCCTCTACCTACCGCATGTTCTGTGCTTTGCCTGGCAGGACCGGATGACAGCTGCCCTGAAGACAATTGTGGTGAGCCTTAGGGCTTCCCCCTAGCCTGTGATAGAGATTTCCTCTGATGATTTGGTGGCCTCTTGGCCTGCTTCCTAAGAAGGTTCCCCTTTACCTTTTGACTCGAGAGTTTACAATTGAAAGGCTAATACCAAGCTCAAAGGTTCGGGAGTCAGAATGAAAGCAACCACCCCCTGAGCAATGCAGACCAACTTGATGAATGCGCTCTAGGAAAGGACTGGAGAGCCAAGCTAGCTTCCTTTGTTTCTGCAGGAGAGGAGAACCAGCCGGCCCATTCCTTCACCCTTCTTTTCTTCCTGCTTGAAAAGAGTCAGATGAGAGGAAGCTTGCCCCCCCCCCCCCCCCCCCCGTTACTGTCTGTCTGCTCAGAAAGAGGGTGGCATCAATTCAAATGGGGCTCATTTTTCAAAAGATTCTGGATCAGTGACACCCTGTCTTGCCTGTGCTCTAACAGTGCTTGCAAAAAAAAAAAAAAAAAAAAAAGATGCAGAAATGAGCCCTTACCACTAGGCTCTCTGGCCGAGAGAAGACTCTAGAAGTTGTCTTTTGATGGCTTGAGAGACCTCTTAGCTCGGGATTCCCAAATAAATATAGGTCTTTTTATTAATTGTTCTCAAGTGGGCCATTTCTACCCTCTCATTAGCCGGCGCTAATCAGCCTCAGCCCCAAAGGGCGCAGTTTTCTGGCCCTCCAGAGCCTTCCAGTCTCTGTCGTAGTCCCAGGACTCCTGCCTGCCTCTCCACCAGAAGAACCTGTTCTCGGGACTCCAGCTCTGGAGCATCTGCGTTTTATTATTTCACATGTTAAATAAGAAGTTAATTGCCACTATTTATAGCACTTAGTTTTCTAAGACAGTCACAATGGGTAATAGTAAGAAACTGTAGTGACTCAGGCTGTGGGCAGAGCTGGGCAATTTTGGTAATCGTCGGGTTGTTATGTGGTACTGGGAAGCCACAGCTTCTTGGACCTACCGGGAAGCTTCAGATTTGGCAACTACGGATAGGCTCCTATCCGGGTTGAGTTCATTTTAAGCGTGCGTGCGTGCATGTGTGCGTGCGTGTGTGTGTGTGTGTGTGTGTGTGTGTGTGTGTGCGCGCGTGCGTGCATGTGTGTGTACATATAGCAGAAGGGTTTCTTGCTTTGGGGAGAGACTGTCTGAACTCTGTCCAGGATCCTCCAAATTACAGGGAACCCCTGGCAAAGGCAAGTGTGCTCTGGCGTGTCAGGGACCACCCGTGGTGATTTGGCGGGTCACTTTCTAAAATGCCTGCTCCCATTTTCTAGTCAGAGGGCTAGTTTCAGCACAGAGGACTTAAGATGCGACCTAGCATCCTTGCTGACCACAGGAAAATGGTGACTTCAAGCCCCCTTCTTGTGGGAGTCTCACAAAGTGGCTTCATTTGGCATGTTTGTTCTGCCCAGAACTGTGTGGTCTTCTGAGAGTGGAAGGCTGAGGAGAGGGTGGAGGACACCAGGAGAACTTTCTTCCTTTGGAGCCTTTACTATGTGCCCCTTCCTTACACCCCTTTACAGTCTAGCTTATCCTATTGAGCAGGCGAGAGGAGGCTCACTAGGCATTAGGTGGGAATTTTTGAGGCCTGCCAAGCATTTCCAGAACTCTCTTCCCTCGAGAGGACCACCGTAAGCCCTCCCTGAGTAGCCTGACACTCAGACGGCACAAGCCCTCTTTGCCCCCCCCCCTTCCCTGTCTTGTGGCCCTCTGGGCTCCATTGTCCTCTGTCTCCATTGCTGTCCGTCTCCGCTCTGCAGAGCCTGCTTTCCCCTGTGGCGTTTGGCTTTGGCACAGAGTACCTGGTCCGCTTTGAAGAGCAAGGCCTGGGGCTGCAGTGGGACAACATTGGCAAGAGTCCCGTGGAAGGGGACGAGTTCAGCTTCCTGCTGGCCATGAAGATGATGCTTCTTGATGCGGCTCTCTACGGCTTGCTCGCCTGGTATCTCGACCAGGTTTTTCCAGGTCAGCAAGGAAGACTCAGGCTACTTTTTCTCCTGTGGTCAAGGGAATGAGATTTGTCTGGCCCAGTCTTCTAGTTTAAACTTGATTGCTCCCTAAGCTATTTGAACATAAGCTCACAGGGCCGGCATCTGAATTTACAACTAGAAGTTAAAACTCCACCAACCAATTATTGTCTCCACTTTAGAAGCAGATCTAGACTTGGAGATGGGGAGGTGGCTTGGTTGGTAAAAGTACTTGCTATGCAAATGTGAGGACCTGAGTTCAAATCCCCACAACCCACATAAAACCCCCGGCATGTCGGCAAGGGACTGTAACCCTAGTGTTGGGAAGTGGAGACGAGGGGATCCCAGGAACTCTTTAACCAGCCAACCTGGCCAGCACAACAAGCTGCCAGTTCAGCAAATGACCCTGCCTCAAAGGACTCGGTGGGCGCAGCAGAGGAAGGCACCTCCTCTAGCCTTGGCAAGCATGCTCAGGAGTATGTCTACCCACATACATGTGTACATATGGGTCCATATACACATGTGTGCGCACATGTAAACACACACACATACACACATGACAAGGGACAGGGAGAGAGGATACTGGGAAATAGGTCTAGAATTGGCTTTCCTGTCGCCACCAATCCATGTTCCCATTCCAAGCCTCCTTCCACCGACACCTCTTACAACCGGGTTGTTGCGGGAGGTCCTTCCGCTCCTCCAACCAATAGCTGCTGTGATACCAGCCCATTGGGGTGTGGTCTCTCTCCCTTTAAAAAAGCGGCTATTTCCTCTGCTCGCTCTCTTCACTTCCTGCTCCGCTGGAGACTAGACTCCCTTCCTGGTTGTGCAGATGGCTGTTGTCTGGGACGGTGATCTGTAAGTTTTCCCCTTTAAATAAATAACACCCTATTAATCATAACTCCAAACTGGTGTGGCCTTGTTCGTGACTTACGCCTTCACCGGGTTCCCCCTCGCTGTATGCAGGTGGAGCCTTTGCAGTCTAGGCCAGATGGTGTCAACACTCTGTTCCAACCCCTTCGTGGTCCTCTCTCCTCATTCAGAGTAAAACCCAGTGTCCCGACTCAGGCTTCATCATCTGCCTTTCTGCTTACCCTCTCCACCCCCTGCCTTCCCTTCCACACCACGTCTCCGGGCTCAGGCCACCACAACCTCCCCCACTGATGTTCAACACACTAGCACACTTCCTGGGCCGCCCTTCACACCTGCTGTTTTCACTAGCAGTGCCTTTCTCCCCAGGCTATGCCTCCAATCTGCTGACTCGGCTCCTCACTCTGCTCAGGTCTCTGTTCAAGTGTCACTTTTATCGCAGGGAACTTTCTAGACTGAAGAGTACTAGATCTTTGTCTTCATATGACCAATATTCCCTCTGTGGCCCTAACCCTTTACCCTACTTTTTTACTTTTTAAAGCACTCATTACCGCCTGGCATGATGTGGAGTTGTTTTTTTGTTTGTTTGTTTTGTTATTTTGGGGGGGGGCCACCACCCAGATCCCAAATAAATCACAAACTGAGGTTTATTTTATCTTATGAATGCCTGGTTTTAGTTTGGCTTGTTTCTAGCCAGCTTTTTTTTTTTTTTTAACTTAAATTATCTATCTTTTGCCTCTGGGCTTTTACCTTTTTTTTTATTTTTGTATGTCTCCCTCCCCCCGCCCCTTCTTATTTCATGTCTGGATGTGTGGCTGGGTGGCAGGCCCCTAGTATCCTCCTCTCCTCCTTTTCTCGCTCCTTCCTTTTTTTTTTTGTCTTTTTATTCTGTCTGCCTGCCAATCCCACCTATCCTTTCTTCCACCTCGCTATTGACCATTCAGCTCTTTATTGGACCAAATGGTGTTTTAGGCAGGCAAAGTAACACAGCTTCACAGAGTTGAACAAATGCAACATAAAAGAATACAACACATCTTTGCATCATTAAACAAGCATAAACAAACATAACACCTCCTAATATTTCACAATAGTGACGTAACCTTATGTATGCATTTATTGACTTACCATCTTTCCTAGGAGAGCCCCACAAGAGCAGAATTAGGATCTGTTTATTTCGCAGCGACATTCTGGAAGCCCTGACTAGAACTTAGTATCTCATGGACACCGAATCACTATCTAATACACCTGCAGCCTAGAAAATCAGCTACTGGGTCAAAATTAGCTGTTTGCGAAGTTTTATATTCCACTTTGCAGAAACTCAGATTTTTCCATCAAATCAGTATTTCCTATAGCTGGAGCAGTCCTCTCTTCACCTGGATGGCCTTCATGTCAGCCCTTGCTGTACAGTAACATCTGGGTCTAGCTCATGACGCCCTGGCCAAAGCAGACAGGAAGGAGTGAGAATGGGCTTGGAAGACCAAGCTCATGGTCCTCAGAAATAAGCAGCTAGAACCAGGTACGGCAGAGTTCAAGTGAAGCCTGGGTTACAGTGAGATCCTGTCACAAACAGAGAACCAAGTCAATCAAACAGCAACAGGTGTGCAGCAACCGCAAATGGGAAAAGATGGCCGAGTCCAGCAGCCTGGGTCTGTGTCCCTCCTGAAGGACAATGTGTTTTCCAGAGTTGTTATCACAAGGGCTTAAAATAATAGAGATTTTTTTTTTAAAAAAGCTAGAAATCAAAAATGAAGCTGTTGGGAAAGCCATGCTGCCTATAAAACCAAGCTTCTGGAGGGTTCTGACCCTCTGGCTTCCCTGACTTGCAGGCACATTGCTCCAATCCTCCACCTCATGTGGCTTCTTCCCTGGGTGCCGGTCTTCGTGTGACTATGTCATGAGGCCTCTATGGGGTCACCCTACTCCAGGATGACCCCACCTAACTTAACTAAGCCATCTACCTTCTAAATAATGCCACATTTTGAGACAGGAGGTTGGGACTCTGGCGAAGACACTGGAGGTGTGTTTTCTCAAACACCGTCCCGTTCCCCGCCTCTACCATTTATTTCCACTCTGAGACTATCCAGTTAGGGACAATCCTGTAAGACCTCCGTCCGATCCTAACACTACCAGAGCGCTCTCTTTTCGATTTGCGGCTTTATTGTAATGGCTATGACTCAAGGACTGCCATAAGGTGGGGAATGAGGACAGGAATGGAATGGCCTTCTCCGGGCCACCCCCTCCCGGCACTGAAACGTGGTTGCCACCCAGAATCTCTTCAAATCCTCTTCCTGAGGTTTGGAATGGTCTGCAGCCCCTTACTCTTCCTGGAGATCAGAGGTTGGGCTGAAAGGTCGCTCTTTGCACATCTCTTCTTTCTGGTGAGCAATACCCAGATGTGAAGTTGCAAAGAGAACTGAACCAGAAAGTTGGGACCTTTTTTTTTTCCCCCTTAAAATATGGCTGAATCCGGTCGAATGTTGAGAATTGGTGATGTTAGAACCAGATTGCCTGCATTAGGAGTCTCGCATGTTGATTTCATGGGGCAGATGGCTCCAAGTTAGTGCACCTCAGTATCTGCATCCTTCAGACTCATATTACTTCCCGGTTCCTAGGGTTTTCAGAATCCACTGCTGTCATACATGGGAAGTATGTAATACGCACGGTATATAAATAGAGTCCAACAAATAGTTGTGATCTCCAATGTTATTGCTTTCTGGTTAACTGCTAAAAAAATTGTATGATTTAATTCTTTGATAACACTTATTTCTTGGGAAACTGATGTCATCAAAGATCCTCATTGCCAGTGTTGCTGGTAACACCGCCCAAAAATCCCATGGTATTTTGATTACAAACTTACTGAAAGAAGCGCCCTGCCTGATAGCCTGTGGGTAACTGCACAATGCCTTGTGACCATCAATACCTGTTGCTATAATCTGAGATTTCACTGAGTATATTGTAGAGCTTGTGTGATGGGGGGAGGGGGCGCTCACTGTTTTCTCTTTCTTTACTTTCCTGTTCTCAGGAGACTATGGAACACCACTCCCCTGGTACTTCCTTCTACAAGAGTCTTACTGGCTTGGAGGTGAAGGTAAATTGGGTGTTTTGTTTGTTTGTTTAATTAAAACAGCCAAGTGGTGGTGGCACACGTCTTTAATTCCAGCACTTAGGAGGCAGAGGCTCTGTGAATTCGAGGCCAGCCTGGTCTACAGAGTGAGCTCCAGGCCAGCCTGGTCTACAGAGTGAGCTCCAAGACAACCAAAGCTACACAAAGAAACTCTATCTTCAAAAAAAATTAAAACAAAGTGACAACACCAGAAACACTTCAGGATTGAAACTAATTCCTTGGGGTTTGTGCAAGAGGTGTGGAAGGTGCCAAGGTGGCCCTTTATATCAAGTCACGATTCCTGCTGCCTGCGGTTGGCCAGCAGGCCGCCCAGCATCACAGCCTCCATAAGCTTACCTCTGGTGAATCACAGAGCCAGAGCAAAAGGTGGAACATTGACAGTTCGTGTCTGGGGATTAAGCACCTGTTGAAAAGGGGTCGAAACATTTCAGGAATCAAATATCTTCTTCCTGCTTTTAAAGCAGAGAGCCAGGAATCATGAAGGGAGCTTTGCTGTCAGCCTCCGCTGCCTCCCCTCTCCTCTGTCCTTATTCCCCACAGTCTTGAAAGGCACGGTAATTGACTCTCTGAAGATGAGGCAGAAACTGCGCTGTGGACCCCCAAGGCAAACACTACCGCAGCTCTGCAGCTGGAGAAGAAAGTCAAATGGACGTTTGCTGACAATGCCTCGTAAACACAATTTATCTTTCCTCCTAAACAAACAGGTGGCCAAGTGATTTCTGGAAATCATAAGAACCCCTTAGATCATAGTCCTTTGAGTTCTGAGGCGGCAGAGGAACTTTAAAGCTATGAGAGAAACGTGAAAGCTATGAGCTACAGTCTCCCCTAGAACTGGGAGGTTCAGGAAGGAAAAAAATGTTTTCGAATGTTCGACCTCACCTCTACCTACCCATGCTTCAATGTGGATGACCACACCGGGGCCGGGTTCTAGCCTTTAAGCACTGATGCGGTGTTTAGTTTTCTAAGGCTTAATCTGAGTCTTTAAAAGGCTTGTATAGATCTTTGTTTGTTTGATGTTTTGAGGGTCCCCCCTTCCAAGTATTTTTCTCTATATACATTTTTAACACAGCTCAAGCAGCAGTGTTTTGACAGCCCAGTGTTTTTCCATTCCATTGTTTTGTGTGTCGTGTGTATCTACAAACTTTCAAGTGTCTACTGTGATCAAGTTATCGACCCATCATAAATGGGAGTGTCTAACACAGGGGTGCTCCTGGAGTGTTCTTAATGTCAGTGAACGCCAGTGCTCTTGCTCATCTGCCCCCCACCGTTATCCCAAGAGGTGCTCTGCCATTCAAGACAAAGAACAAAAAATCTCGAGAACCATGTTCCTTGAAAATGAGACACATACACTTTTGCTGACAGAGGGAAATATGTTTCACCTGTCTCGTAAGCTGGACGAAATTCAATCCCTCACTCTATCTGGATCAGAAGGCAGAGGAGTCACTGCCCAGCTCCTCTTGTCATAGACACAGAAATGGAGACATCCATTTCTTACAGAAATCCCAGTGGATGCCAGCGACAGAAACTAGAACATCTCCCGGCGAGGAGGTCAGCCACCGCAGTGGTTATCTAGAAAGACATTTGTTCTGGCTGGTTTATTCCACCTGAGGACAGTGTGCTAGCCCGAATGTTGACCTCGGGAATTGTGGAGAATGAACTCGAAACTGCTCCAGGAAGTGGAGTCAGACATGCAGCAGGCAGCACAATGCTACTACTCAGCCTCAGCCTGCTGCTCCCTCCCATCCTGCAGACAGAGAGGCCCTGGTGAGCAGACACTGAGAATAGCCACAGATGCTGGCCCATCTGCACTTGAACCAGAGCCCTAAGGGTTTGGTGCTGGTGGCTTCCTTTGGTTCCTGCTTCCTCTCTGGCTGGACAGCCTTTCTGCTTCTTCCCTTTCCAGGATGTCCTTGACACCCTTTTATACCAAATGCCAATTAAAAACAAAACAAACAACCCCCCCCCACACACACAAAGCGTGTGTGTGTGTGTGTGTGTGTGTGTGTGTGTGAGAGAGAGAGAGAGAGAGAGAGAGAGAGAGAGAGAGAGAGAGAGAGAGAGAGAGAGAGAGAGAGAGAGAGAGAGAGAGAGAGAGAGAGAGAGAGAGAGAGAGAGAGAGAGAGAGAGTGATATCACCCTTCACAATCCTGAATATACCAAGCTCCACCCTGGTGTTAACCTCAGGATTCTTAAATGCCCAGATAAGTGGTTTTCTCAAGGGAGCTACTTCTCAAACTTAGATTTACGCTGGCCACCCATCTTATCACTATAGATGAATTTTTGCTCAAGGCTCCTGTGACTGACATGTTGTAGGTTGGAGCCAAAAAGGACCAGGTGGTAAGCTAAAGAAAATTAACCCATTCCAAATTTAATCCAGGGGCAGATTTTTTTATATGTCTGTTTTTGGTTTTGGTTTTTCAGTCACGATTTCGGACATGGGAAGCCTAGCGTATTAACTGGAAGAGGTGAGGGCTGGGAATGATGCGGGTGGGAGAGCGCTTGCCTAACATGCATGAAATTCTGAGTTTGAGTCCCAGCTCCCCCTGAAAACAAACACCAGAGTAAATAGAAACTCTTTCAGCTCCAAGGCTCCAATTACAAAAGTCCCCCTGGGCCTGATGAAGATGGCGCAACCAGATTTGAGTATCTCTTGGCCTGGCATCAGGTCAGAGCTGGAGGCCATGCAGCAGGCTGGTCTCAAAGCAATGCTGGCTGTTAAGGGAGCTGTCTTCCCCTTGTGGTGGGGAACTCAGTTGTTCCCTCTACCCCTCCTCTCCTTGCCTGTCTTTACTGAAGAGTCACATAGGCTTCTGATTGGTTCAGGTTGTTCAACCAGAGAAGAAAGGGCCCTGGAAAAGACTGAACCTTTAACAGAGGAAATGGAGGATCCGGAGCACCCAGAAGGACTGAGTGGTAACGCCCGCCACCCCTCCCCCCACTTCCCAGCCCCAGAAAAGGGCAGAGCGAGCCAAGGCAAAAAGCTAGGAAGCTTGTGCCAGCAGTGCCAGAGCAAAACCACAAGATGCCTCCGTCTCTTGACTGATGTTAAATCTGATGTCCAGCTGTGCATGACGGACATGAATGGTCCAACCCAGACATTAGTGCATGTTTCCTGGAGAAAGCAAATCCCAAGTCTGCAGTGTGTTTGTGCCCTTGTTAGGCAAATCCCGAGTGAATTGCACGAATGTGCTGACTTCCGAGGATTTAGCCAGAACAATGACTTGGGTCACTGGGACTTGAAGCGGATATGAGCTATAAGGAAAGACAAAAATAAGTGCTATCAGGGGAAAGAGTCTAGCAGAGCTGGCTGCGTGCATTTCGCTCAAGGTTTATAAACCCTGGGTCCATTCACTAGCACCATCAGAAGCCTTTCCTGGCTGTGGAGGTTACCTAATCGTTCCTGGGCTAATGGGCAGGCTACATAAGACTTGTGCCCCTGGCTTTTGTTGCTCCGTCTTCCTCTTGATCTAATTCTTGTAAGGGTTCTCATCCTGGAGTGTATGTATTTCTTGGGTTTAGGGAGGTGCCTGGGCTCTGATTTAGCCTGATGTTGGTGTGAGAAGGTCCAGCCTCCAGGTGCCGCTCGGGTACCTCTTGGCAAAGCTGACGTTGGAGACCTGGATCCTCACGGAGTTGGTTTGCAGACAGAGATGCCTCTGGAAGACCCTCCTCCCGGAGTGGTTTGACAAGGCTGAAATGACAGACAGTGAAACTGAGGATGGGCTTCCGGTTCAGCTTTAGGCCAGACTGGGAGGCACAGACAGACAGACAAAGCAACAGATTTAGGGACAGAGCCAGGGAGCAGATATTTGGAATTAATTGATGATAATTAGTCTGGCTCTGTAGAGTGTCCTGCAGAGAATATGTGGTAGGGTCAGGGGAGGGAGAGAGTTGGTCAGTCAACATGAAGGGGACAGGAAGCATAGGGAGGGAGGAGCCACGATGAGGAAGAGTGGGCTGTCCAGGAGTGCTGAGGGGTGAGAGCTGGTGCCAGAAACCCATGAAGAATCCTATAGACTGAGCTTGAGCGCAAAGATGGAGCTTGGGGTTAACTCAATATGCAGGCAGGGACTATTTCAGATGAGAATGGGCTCTGGGCTCACACCCTAACTCTGCCCCTTACAAGCCGTGTAACCTCAACAGAACACTCACTGCCTCTCAGTCTTGGGCTTTCTAACCGATTGAAATGAGTGTGAAATGAGGTCAGGCTTGGAAAACACCGGGAACAGTACCCAGCTCACAGTAAGTGTTAAAGCGATGGCCAACGCCGTTATTACCGTGGCGAATTTGATCCTCTTTACAAAGCTACAGCCGTGCGGGCAGGCGAAGTTACAGGCAGAACACAGGATTGAAGAAGGCACTGTGTTCAGTGAGCACGGTCGTTTGGGTGTTGCCTTTCTACCCAAACTCTACTACAATGTGCTTTTCCTTCCAAGACTCCTTCTTCGAACGCGAGCTTCCAGGGTTGGTGCCGGGAGTGTGCGTGAAGAGCCTGGTAAAGGTTTTCGAGCCCAGTAGTCGGCCCGCTGTGGACCGCCTTACCATCACTTTCTATGAGAGCCAGATCACGGCATTCCTCGGTCACAACGGAGCAGGGAAAACCACCACCTTGTGAGTTCTCTAGCAAAGAGGCTGTCCCCATCCCATCCCATCCGTCCATCATCCCCGGCTTCACTCTCCCCAATATCCTCAGCCTGTGCTTCCCTATTGAATTGTGCTAGAAACAAATGAACAAATAAATAAAACACCCTTGTTGTGGTCCCAAGAATTTCCAAAGCAAGCTGGGTGTGCTGGCTTAAATGCCCTTAATCTCAGCACCTGGGAGGCAGAGGCTGGTAAACTCTGTGAGTTCAAGGCTATCCTGGTCTACAGAGTGAGTTCCAGGACAGCCAGAGCTACATAGTGAGATCCTGTCTTGAATGTAACCCCCTCCCAAACACTGCAAAATAAAATTAAGTAATAAATAAAAGTTAAAAAAATCTCCTAAGAATGCTGCAGTATTCAAAGCCCACTCGAGTACATGTAATATTTGTTAAGAAGCAGGGAGAGAATGGGGAGTAAGTGTATAGCCCCCTTCCTGTCACAAAAATGGACGTTCACGGAGTTTGAGTGATTTTTTCCTGCCGCCTCTGAGTTGATGGCTCAGTAGGTGCATTAGCCAGATCCTCTTGCCACAGTCGCCTCCTGTCCCTAACACCCTTAGTCCCCTCCTTAATCCCCATCCCTGTCATCCACAGTGAGGATAAAGCCCTGGCTGTCTATGTCCAGGGTCTGTAGAACACCTCGGTTTCAAAGGAGCACTCCTTTTCCTACCAATTACCAGGGTGCTTCACTTGGCATGGGACCTCTGTTGGGGGTTGGTTACATTTCTAAGGAAGTGTAGAGAGACCGGTGGCGGAGTACACGCCTGGCAGAAGGCCAGGTGCAGGAAAATCTGGATCTCTGGGTAGACTTCTCGGTCCTACAGTTCTTCAGGGGCCTGAGCGCCAGCTGCTGAGGTTCCTAGGCAGAGCTCCGCTGGGGAGTGGGGGGGGGGGGGGGGGGGGGGGGGGGGGGGGGGGGGGTCACCAAGCCGCGTGACGGCAGCCGTCAAATCCTTGGCTTCCAGGGCCCCGGGAAGGAACAGCGGTGAACTCCCTGTTCTGGAATGTGCTCTTGGGGCTTTCAGTGCGAACGGAATGTGGGGCCGGGGCCATTGTGCTTGGGACTGTTTCCCTCTAGTGGTAGATCAACAAAGATTTCGGCTTCTAAATACGGGCTCCGAGAGCCTGCGATTTTATCAGGGCTGGGTGTGGCAGTCTAGGTCTATCTCCCTGGCGAACTCCCGAACTCCCGTGGTCCGGGAACAGGAAGGTCCAGCCAAGACCCCAGGACATCTTGAAGATAAACACATTACTTCACTAAGTGCAGAGATTCAACTTCCCCTGGAGTTGAAACACGACACTGCCCAACACCGGGAATAACATAACACCTTAAAGTTTCACTTCATACTGGTTCTGTTCTAAAGTACCTTTTGACTCACTAAACCCAGACATCTACCTAAGCAGGCAGGAGTCAATATGTCTTGTTTTATTAAAGAAAGGGGGGGAAAAGATCACAACATAGTTATGGGCTTTTTATGTTAGGGATCCAAAACTGAAGTTGTGAGTGGTTAATTCCTGTGCCTGACTGCGGTCAGGGTCAGTTCATCAGCAGACACACAGTGAACACATAGGTGGGCTCAGCTTCCTACCGGCATTGCCGTCTTTCCTGGGCTTTGTAAAGGCAACAGCCAGTTTCTCCACAGTCAGGGTTGCTTACCCAGGCAAAGCAGTGGGCTGTGTTCTCAACCCCTTTAACTGACCACAACACAACAGTGACCTCAAGGGCTAGCCACCGGATGACCACTATGACAGACCTTTACAGTGGACACTACAATAGTGACCACAACAGTGACCACTTTGGCTGATCATATCAGTGAACACCACAGTGACCACATGACTGATCATGACAGTGACCACTATGGTTGACCATCCCAATGGGCACTACAACTGACCACTACAGTGATGGATGAGTGATGTCGTGTCTGAGGCTGGGAATCCCCAAAGCTCTTGAAACTGGTCTGGAAGCACAGGAAATAAAGAGTAGAAAAAGAAGGCCCTTGTGGTTCTGGGTACCAGGACCTGAATGTAGGCACTGGTGCTAAGTAAGCCTTGTATAGAAAATGTCAAGGCCCCTCAGCTGACGTAGGTTTGAGTTTAATAGTGAGCTAAGGCAGGAATCACTACAGGCATCCTTCTGACCCTGGAGTGGGGTTGCCATCCTCCCCTGCTGAGTCCTAAAGCCCTTTCCTTCTGACACCTAACCCTCTGTTTGGCAGGTCCATCTTGACAGGTCTGTTGCCACCAACATCGGGGACCGTGCTCATTGGGGGGAAAGACATTGAAACCAGCCTTGATTCAGTACGCCAGAGCCTGGGCATGTGTCCCCAGCATAACATCCTATTCCACCAGTAAGTGAACAGGAGTTGAGATTCTCCAGGGCAGGGGTGGGCTTTGTGGTAGGGTACTTGCCTGGCATGTCCATCGTCCCTGGGTTCCATCTCCGGCACCAGGAGAAAACAGGACGTCTATTGGAAACGCCCCCGGCTGTGCTGGCCACTTTTATGTCGATTTGACAGGAGGGAGAGGAACTGGAAAGCAGGGATCCTCAATTGAGAAAATGCCCCAATAAGGTGGGGCTGTAGGCAAGCCTGTGGGACATTTTCTTAATTAGCAATTGCTGTGGGAGGGGGAGGGCCCAGCCCATTTTGCATGGTGCCACCCCTGGGCTGGTGGTCCTGGATTCCATAAGCCAAGGCGGAGCAAAGCCGTGATGAGCAAGCCAGTAGGCAACACTCCACCATGGCCTCTTCATTAGTTCCTGCCTCCTGGTTCCTGCCCTGACTGAGTTCTTGTTCTGACTTCCTTTGATGATGAACAGTGATGTGGAAGTGTAAGCCAAACAAACCCTCTCCTCCCTATGTTGCCTTGGTCATGGTGTTTCATCACAGCGACAGGAACCCTAAGGTACCGGTACCTTTTCCTCTCCTGCCCCCAGCTCACATCTTCTCTCCATCCCAATGCTTTATAGTCTGGTCCCCACCTTCAAAGCCCTTGTCCTGCTGGGGTAAGAATTGTCTCTCCAGGTGTGAGACTGTGCTCCTGGTGCTCAGAGCTGAGATGTCCCCGCCAGAGGAGTCACAGCAGCTTCTTTCTGACGCCCACCCCAGTGCGTGCCCTGAATACTTCTGGGCAGGAACCAGAAAGAGGAGCATCGTTCCTTCTCCACACTGAGCCCTGGTGCCAAGGGTTGCCCTTTCAGAGGGCCTTCATGCTGGCTAGCTTGAGTTTCTTTCTTTTCTCCTTTTCTCCTTCCACCTTCTTCCTTCTCCTTCTCCTCCTCCTCATCTCTCTCTTTCACCCCATTCTCTTTCTTTCCAACCAAAACTTATTTTATGTCCTGACTCTAGTCATGTAGAAGGAAAGTAGGGGTTGAAGGAGAGAAGACAGCCAAATACAAAGAAAAACACAACCAAACAGAACTTACACGAGTCATTCTACCACCCAAGAGGCAATCGCTGTCAACACCTCTAGATATAGTTCTTGAGAAATTCCTCTGCACGTGCAGACGTGCCTGCAGACTTGCAGGTTATGAAGGAGAGTAAAATTATATGTACAGTTTTGTCACCTGACTGTTTGAAACGGTGCTTGCTCTTTAATTATCTTACTATGTACATGGGTGTTTTGCCTGACTGTATATCTGTGCACTCTATGTGTGCCCAGTGCCTGAGAAGAGGGCACCAGATTTCCTGGAACTAGAGTTACAAACAGTTGTGAGACGCCATGTGGGTGCTGGGACTCGAACCCAGCTCCTCTGTAAGAGCAGCCCATGCTCCTAACCACTGAGTCATCTCTCCAGTTCCATAATTGCTTTTTTTGAACTTAAGGTGTTAATGAATGTCTCTTCATGTGATTACATATTTCTTTAAGAAGGAATTTCTAATGTTTATAAGTACAAATGTACGATCCCAATGTTGTTTTACTTTTGTATCATAAATAATAATAAGATGAAAAATTTTGATTGCTATGCCTTTATATTCATCTTTAATTTTTTTTTTCTTTTGAGACAGGGCTGGCCTTGAACCCGGAGATCAGCCTGCCTCTGCCTCCCAAGTGCTGGGACTAACGGTGTGCCCCAACACCGCCCGATTTCATCTTTATTTTCTAAGCTAAACTGCTAGAAATGGAATTGCTCAGCTCATTGCCCTTCTCCTTGTCCTGTCCCCACAGTCTCACAGTGGCTGAGCATATCCTGTTCTATGCCCAGCTGAAAGGGAAGTCCTGGGAGGAGGCCCAGCTGGAGATGGAAGCCATGTTAGAAGACACTGGCCTTCACCACAAGAGAAATGAGGAGGCGCAGGACCTTTCAGGTGCTTGGTACTGGAAAGAGATGGGTCTTCATCTGGAGCAGCCATTGCCTCCCTCCCGGTGCACCTCAGCAGAGGAGTGGGGTGGGGCAGTGGTTCTCAACCTGTGGGTCACAACCCTACATAACAGATATTTACATTGCATTACGGTATCCAAATTACAGTTATGAAGTAGCAACGAAATAATTTTATGGTTGGGAGGTCCCCAAAACATGAGGGACTGTATTAAAGGGTCACAGCATTAGGAAGGTTGGGAACCACTGGGCAGGGCCTTGTACCGGGGTGAGCTCCTAACTTCTGTGAAATTAAAGATCCAGTCTTCAGATGAGCAGGTGCCAGGACACAAGGGTGGCCTTTCTGCATTGATGAAGCCCCAATGCCGCTATGTCTTTGGCCAGTGCAGGGATATCTAAGGTGGCAGTTATCAAACTGTCAGATTTGAAGAGCCTCCACATGCCACCAGTCCTGGGCTTTTCTCGTCCCCATGCCAAGGTATCTGTGATAAGCCACCATCGCCTTCCTTCTGCCTCCAGGTGGTATGCAGAGGAAACTGTCTGTGGCCATTGCTTTTGTGGGAGATTCCAAGGTGGTGGTCCTGGACGAACCCACCTCTGGGGTGGACCCCTACTCCAGGCGCTCCATCTGGGACCTGCTCCTGAAATATCGATCCGGTGAATACTCCGTGCTCAGCACCCCGTGGTCACATTGAGGTTCTTCCTGGAATCCCATTTTTCTCACACCTAGTAGTTTATAGCTAAGTACACTAACAGCTGTAACTGCGCTCGCTCCCTTGAGACCGCGGGTGAAGTTCAAGTTCAAGTGAGAGCCTCCTGAGGTATTTACATAAACACAAACAGGCTGAAATAGTCTAGAAGGCTGGACTGGAGTGTAGCTCATTTGGTACAGAGTTTACAAAGCCTGCGCAAAACGCCAAGTTCAACCCCAGCACCACACAAAACAGCCCTGGTAGTACATGCCTATAATCAGTTGCTATAACATCACTACGCTTGCTGAGGAATTAGCTACTTTGTTTTTATTTATTTATTAACTTCTGGTTCTGGGGACCACATCACCTGGAGGTTTCTGTGCACCCTCTCCAGGGCTTGTCTGGTGACAACCCCGATCGTTTCCTCACAGGCAGAACCATCATCATGTCTACTCACCACATGGATGAGGCTGACCTCCTTGGCGACCGTATCGCCATCCTCTCCCAGGGAAGGCTCTACTGCTGTGGGACACCACTCTTCCTCAAGAACTGCTTTGGCACAGGCTTCTACTTGACCTTGGTTCGCAAGATGAAAAGCATCCAGAACCAAAGAGGTGGCTGTGAGGTCCGTGTCTGCGCAGGGAAGGGGCCCAGCTTGGGTGAGAAGGGATGGGCAGTGGGGGGGCTGCCGTTCTAGATATTTCTACCCACTGGGCCGTTAGCTGTCGGAATCAGTTTATTTCTGGGTCTATTTGTAGATTTCAGTAATCACGTTCTAACATGCCCTGCAGAGATGCTCCAAACATGCACTCAGACACAACTATTTTTAAATAACCAAAAATACTACACACTGGTGTCCCAAACTACACATGTAGTAATGTGTACCATGGGAACACCTTGCTCTTCAAGGTTAGACTGTTTTGTTTAAGCATCTCTCCTTTATCCCAACGTTCATGTTCCCTAATTAAGTCTGAATTCCAGTAGTAAATGAGACCTAAGGAAAAACGTCCTTGGGAACTATAACCAATGATGCAGGGACAGAAAAGCCAGCAGAGAGCACTGAGCACGCCCTTAGGACCAGGGGGACTGGCGAGTCTACTATGTCACCCTGAGCAGGTGACTTTTATTCTTTCCTGTTACCTCTCTTTACACGGAACACGAAGATGATGATGCTGGCTTTGGCCTTGTAGGGACAGAGAGGAGACAAATGAGATAAAGGGTTGTGAGTGTTGCCTGGGCTCCTTGAGAACAGGTGTCCCTCGTATTCGAATTGCCGCAGTGTTCTACTGTTGTGTCATTTACACCTCCAGTGTAAGTGGCTGTAGTGGGTTTTCCTGTCCCACATAGATTTCCAAAGCCCGGTGTCCCCAGGGGTTGGGAGGGGAGCAGGGAGCAGAATGTCTCCAGCTGCCACACAAGCAGTGACAATCCAAAGGGATGCTTTGAGGTTCTGCCCCCCCCCCCTCTCTCTCTCTCTCTCTCTCTCTCTGCCTGACTCACATCCCCTCTGGGATAAAAATCAAGCCAGCTACACCCTCAAAACGCTCAGATGAATTAACAGATTAAACAGCGATGGAGAAGAAGAAAAGGTTGGCCCCGGTTGGTGATGAGAGACAGAACAGTGGTGACAGCAGCTGGCACCATGAAGATGCTATCACGGGATGAGGTGCACCCCGTCAGTCATCTCTGTCTCTTGGTTGTAGGGGGCCTGCAGCTGTACGTCAAAGGCTTTCCCCACCAGGTGTCCAGCCCGAGTGGATGAGATAACCGAAGAACAAGTGTTGGATGGTAAGAGCCGGGCAGGCTGAACGTTGGTACCTGGTTCATGACCGTCTTCCACATTCTTGGCTGTGCTCTGTTGCGATGCCCTCAAGCAAAGAGGACGCACAGTGTACTGGAACCCCAATGTCATGTGATTGCTTGTCTCTTTCTTGAGTCTGTTTCTCCTCCCAACATGATTCCTAACATGATTTTAAAGTCGTGCAGCCAAGAGCTCTCTCTTTAATAAGGAGTCCAGTGTTTGTTCACTTTCCACCCCTGCTCATATTAAGCCTTGGTCCTTGGCATCCTCCCGCCCTTTAACAGAGTGTGGACACATCCACTCCTAAAGGTGTGCCAAGGTACCCTCTGGTTCTCTCTCCTTTTAGCATTTTATTTATTATTTTTATTTTATGCATATGACTGCCTGCATGTATGAAAGTGAACCATGTATGTGCAGTGCCTGCAGAAGCTAGAAGAGCGTCACGGCCACCCTCGACCTGCAAGGATGACGTGACCACCGGAGCTCTTCTCACTGCAGTTTATTCCAGGCCTTTTACAATTCTCTCTCTCTTCCCCTCTCTCCTTCCTCTCTCCTCTCTCCTTCCTCTCTCTCTCTCTCTCTCTCTCTCTCTCTCTCTCTCTCTCTCTCTCTCTCTCTCTCTCTCTCTCTCTCTCTCCCCCCCCTTCCTCTCTCTTCCCTCCTCTCTCCTTTTCTTCCTCCGGGCAAACCTCTCCCAGCCCTTAAGTAGGCATGGGCTGCCGACCCCGAACTGTCAGGTGGGCACTGCCCATAGGTTCACGCATATGCAGGCAGCTGATAATCATTGCGTGATCATAGCATAGGTCAGGCCTTAGCCATCTCAGGAGTTGATTATACATCTCCATCAGGTGTGACACCACGCAGCTCGCTACAGAAGAGGACATTGGAGCCTCTGAAACCAGAGTTACAGACAGTTGTGAGCCATCATGGGGGGAGCCATGGACTGAGCCCACAGTCCCTGTAAGAGCAGTGAGTGCTCATAACTGCGGAGCCGTCTCTAGGTCCCTGCACCTCTCTTACAGGGAACTTCTGGAGAATCTGAGCTTGTAGCTGGAGAGGGTACATGACATCCTTGCACAATATCCCACATTCCCAAGTTCCCAGTGAGCGTCCCTTTAATGTCAGGGTATACTATCTCTCAGAGGTGTCTCCCCATCTGCAGAGAGGTGCAGTAAATAGGCTCACTGTACATGCAATTGTTCCCCTGTCAGGTCTAAGCTCAGGATCCCAGAGATTGCCAGCAATTCTTTCCGTTCTCAGCGACTGCCCGTCTTCATGCCTCTCGTGAGGATGACTTTGCAAGTGGGGTGCCCTAGACCCTAAAATCCAGTGTAAAAGCAAAACTAAACTCAGGTGCTGACCTTGCTTTATGAACAGAGGAAAGTGTGTGCTTGTCAAAGACCAAGCTTCCAATTGAACACTCCCCCAAACATTAAGAATTTCCTAAGTGAAATCTGGCAGAACAAGAACGCTTGACAATAGCGATGTGCTGTGCTTAAAACCTGGGCTGGGGGAAGGCCAGGTGCACTGGCAATGCGCCTTTGATCCCAGCACAGGCAGAAGTAGGCAGATCTCTGTGGGTTCTAGGCCATCCAGGGTGACATAGTGAGACAACAAAAGCCTGAGGGGCAATGCTTGGGGTCCCATCACCGGGGTTTGCTCCCCTACTTGGTGTGCCGGCAGAGCCTGTGCCGGGCAGAAGCATTTCTTTGGCGTTGCCTCTCTGGACCTTCTGCTCTGCTCATCTCGCAGTGGGCATCCCTTGTGCTGCTGAAAATCTCTCCTTGGAATCTTGGTCCAGACATTAATGCTTTCTTTAAACAAATCCATGTTAACATGTTTAGTTGTTACAGTCACTCAAAATCAAGTTGGAATGTGTGCGTCTGTGGCTGGCATGACGTTTAAAGTATGGCTCTATGTCCATGAAAAGACTTCCTTTGTATAGCGTGGTATACTGTAATGGTGGCAAGTACAGTGGGTGGGACGCCCCCAATTAGGGAGGAGCGATCCCTTAATCCCCAGTTACCTCCTTGGCTGGCTTCTCACTCACCCACCCCCGCCCCGCTCCACATACCACACACACACACACTCACGGACCTCCCTGCCAGATGGAGCCTTCTGAGAGGCTGACACACATCTAAGACACAGTCCCTGGGAATCCAGTGACTGGCTCTCACTTCCTTCCTACGAGAACAATGAGCGTGACCCCTACGAGTTACTGGGGCAGAGCTATTTCCTCCAGTAAAGAACTCCCCGGTCCCAGTATGAGCTCATCCAGGACTGAAGACAATCACGCTGCTTGCAGGTGTGACACCCAAGCCTTTTACTCTGGCTCAGCACAGGATCTTAATGGCGAGCTGGGAAATATTCGGACCACGTCATTTAAAAAAAAAAAAAAGTTGAGACTTCCCTTAGCGATGCTGACCCTTTAAGAAAACCGGCTTGAATATCAACACTCACTGGGATTAGTGTATCTTGTGCCTATCATCCCGGCACTTAGGAGGAGACTGTACAAGAATTATGAGTTCAAGGCCAGTTTGAATTACAAAGAAAGACCCACTTTTTTTTTTTAATATCAAGTTAGGCTTTCAATTTCAAAGTAATATGTGCTTGTCCATAAAATCCAGTTCTGGCTGTTCAAAGCTATCATGCTACCATGCTTCCCGCCTCCGGCGCCATCCTCATCCTCTCCAGGGCTTCTCAACCTTCTGCGGCCACTGGTTAGTGACTCTTGTCCTGTGTGAGAGGACAGGTACAGCCCAGGGGAAAATGGTGTGACCCTCCAAGAAACAAGCCCACATGGGTGTGATTTAGGAAGGATAGCCTCCTCTCTATGAATGTGTCTTGGATAAGTCCCCTACAGCTTGCTTGGGCCAGGCGGGAGAGAAAGAAACAACCCTGACTTAACTCTTAACTTTCCAACGAATGAGAATAAGTGGTAATGACAATGGGCTTTCTTCCCTGGGCTGATGTTCAGGAATGCAACAACCGCTAGGTGCCAGCCAGCCTGTGCCAGGCACCACCCCAAGCACCGTGCGAACATTAACTCCCCATCCCCACAAACAGTCTTGAAGTGGGCCCAGTTCTTTTCCCCTTTCACTGATGAGGAACCAGGGAGTTTAGCATTCCTTGAGGCGATAGCACCTTTGACTGAACAATGGAGGAAACGCCCTCCCTCAGGTCGCACAGCTAGCCACCTGGAGGACCTTTGTCCCAGAGTCCACTAAGCTAAAAACAGACTCACTGATTGTCAAGTCTAAAAGAAATGTCATGAGCCAAGTGTGCGGTTTATGCCTCTAATCCCAGCACTCAGGAAGGCAAGCCTGTACCAAACTAAATCACAGGAGGGCTGTCCTCAAATTCAAAGATATCTGCCTGGCTCTGTCTCCAGACTGCTGGGATAAAGATGTGTGCCCGGCTAAAGATGATAGATTTGTACATCTCTATAATCCATCACTTGAGGATAGAGGTGGCAGGATCAGGAGTTCAAGATCAGATTTAATTACATAAAGGATTTGAGGCCAGTCTGTGATGCGTGAGACCCTCTTTCAACACACACACACACACACACACACACACACACACACACACACACGAGAAGTGGGGAGGGAGAGAGGCAGAGGATGGTGGCAGCTACTTACCCCTTTCTCAAATAAGAGAGGGAGAGGGAGAGGAAGTGGGAGAGGCAGGGGTGGAATAGGCTAGGAGGCCCGGGCAATCTCACAGTCTTTCAGGTTCTAGAAAGGTTGAGTAGAATTGATATCAGTCCTTCTTCTTGTCCTAGGGGATGTGAAGGAGCTGACGGATTTGGTGTACCACCATGTTCCGGAGGCAAAGCTGGTGGAATGCATCGGTCAAGAACTTATCTTCCTCCTTCCAAACAAGGATTTCAAGCAGAGAGCGTATGCCAGCCTCTTCCGAGAGCTGGAGGAGACGCTGTCTGACCTGGGGCTCAGCAGCTTTGGAATTTCTGACACTCCCCTGGAAGAGGTAAGACGGAGAGAGGTCACAGTTAGTCTCAGCAGCTCTTGCAAAAGTCTAACACTAAAGCAAAATCCTACCAAAGCAAAAGGCCAGTATTTCCCACCCAGTGTACAGCTGTCTCCATCCTTAGCTGGCTTCCTCCTACCTCAGTCCCCGTGCCTGCATACTTTCTGCAGTGGTGGTCACCATGTGCTTACACTTTTCATTCATAGACCATGTTCTTAAGGCAGTTAACGCATATTTCTTCCCCTGGTGTAACAGTGCCCAACAAAATGGAGGCTTAGATTCTCCCGAAAGTAGGAATAGCCTGAACCAAATTTTCTCTTCTTGTTTCAACAGATTTTTCTGAAGGTCACGGAGGACTCCGATTCCAGCTCTATGTTTGCAGGTATGGTGCTTGGGCCCTGTGACCTGTTCCGTGTTTCTCCAGACTTGGTCTTGAAAAACCTACAGAGAGAGTAACAAAGCAGCCATTCCTTCCTTCCTAGTGCCAGAGCCCCAAGTAATGCATTTTGTGTCCTTCATGCCACTGGGTGACAGGATTGAGAAACGGAATTTGGCTGGGTAGGGACATTCTGGATGAATCGGGATTCTTACCACTGTCAGATTGGTAGATTCCCCCCCCCCCTTCAAACGTCACCTCTGGTCTCTTTTTTCTGCTGTATCTCCATCTCCTCTCCTCTCCACCAGGCTTCTGGTCCACTCTTGTCTGCGGGAGTGATAGCTTCCAGAGAGTCCTTAGAGATAATGATGACAGCTAGTATAACCCAGATGCCTGCTGCAGTCTCCTGGCCCCTTTGAGATCAAGATAAAAACTCTCAAACTCTCAGTTAGGAAACCTGTGGACTCTGAAATGGTGGGCACGGAAATTCCTGTGAATTCTGGCCTTCTCGCGTCTGTATGTGTTAGCCTGGGTCCTTTGCTTGATTCTTCATGGCCACGAAAAGCATTACGAGTATTGTGTACTTACTGCAGAGGGAATGGAAGTATCGGGACGGTAACTTGTCTCCATAGCACAAATCACTTCTGATAGAACAAGAGGCTTGTCCCCACTCTGCTGAAATAGACCCAATGTGCCCTCTCCCCTGCTCAGAGGCAAAGATGGCCACAGTTCTCTTTTGCTGTCTTGGGTCCCTAGTCCGCCACTCCTGCCCAGTATGGCACCTTGCAATGTCTTCCTATGCAGTATTTCCTTCCTGTGGCATTTCTGCTATTTCTCCCGCCTCCTAAGATAATGTGTATTTCCCCCAGCTTCTAAGGGATCAAACATATCAGTCGGGCCTAGAATTGCCAATGACCGTGTTTGCCGGTCCATGTGTGCTGCTGCTCACTCGTATAGGCCATGTGGTAGACCACTGAGGCCATCATCCTTGCAGAAGGGGAAGGGATGAGATCTCTTCAGGGGACCCAGGTTCTCTTTTAAATTTCTTGCAGAGAGCAATTGAATTTTCTCAATTCCTTCAAAGCCAGAGATTCACATCAACCAAGACAAGAATGAGAGCACTTAAATTAGACCACACGTTATGCTGGAATTAAAAGTTAGAGACCTGTACCTGAACAGCATGCTCCTCTTTAGTAGCTAGCCTGTCAGAATAATACAGTCAGACATTGAACACAGGTCAGCAGGGGCACCTCAGAGGCAGTCGAGAGTAGGTTGTACAGAGTTGAACCATAGAGTGCAGTAGACAGCCATCAAACCTGAGCTCATCATTTGATACCTAAGTGACTCTGGGCAAGGTACTGAGTCTCTTCATATGTCAGTTTCCCCATGTGGAGAATGAAAATAATAATAATAATAATAATAATAATAATAATAATAATAATAATAATAATAATAATATTCTAGGATTTTGTTGCTGGTGGTGGTGGGGTTTTTTTTTGTTGTTGTTTGTTGATTTTTGTTTTTTTGAGTTAGGTTTCTCTGTAGCTTTGGAGTCTGTCCTGAAACTACCTCTTGTAGACCAGGCTGGCCTTGAACTCACAGAGATCCCCCTGCCTCTGCCTCCCAAGTGCTGGGATTAAAGGTGTGTGCCACCACCCCCTGGCATACTTTTTAAAGTCATTGAGAGACTTAAATAAATACATGTCAAGTCTACACATGTGATCTGTACTCGAGATTTAGCAAGAGCCTCATGGCAACACTTCCAAATCCTCTTGCTTCATACTTGCACGGCCCTTTGTACTCGACAAAGCACCTGATATCATTGTGTTACTTAATAACACGATAACTTCATGAGGCAGATAGGACAGGGACCTGACCCATCTGGGGAACCTGAGTTCACTGATCCTGAGATATGACCTAAAGCCACACAGACACTAATAGATCTTATTCTCCCGGCTCTGAGGCTCTATTCCACAACCTCCCCACCTCCCACAGTACATGTGACCAAGTGTGGATGGGCTAGAGTGAGGTTTGACCCCAAACAATGACAAAAATATTATTAACCTCCATGCCCCATGGTTTTCTAAATGAAGAGTAACTGATGTTGTAGGGGGGGATGTATATAATCTCCTATGTTTATATTTTTCAATTTCTTGATCCCTTAGGTAGCACGCAGCAAAAAAGAGAACATGTTGATCTCCGGCACCCTCGTTCTGCTCCCACTGAGAAAGTCAGGCAACCTGCCCAGGGCTCTCACACCTGCTCCTCAGGACAAGTGGATCCTTCCAAGGGCCAGTCTTCCCCAAGACCAGAAGAACTGGGCGCCCCATTCTACACAGGCGCTCGGCTGATTCTTCAACACGTGCAGGCGCTGCTAATCAAGAGATTCCACCACGCTGTCCGCAGCCACAAGGACTTTCTGGCTCAGGTACCGCTGTGGCCAGCTTGGGCTTGACTCGGCTCCCACCCTCCCTTACCCCACCCCCCTCACCCCATCCCCCCCTTACCCCACCCCCAGCTCCGTAGGACTGGTCCTGCTTTTCCGTCTACTTGGGTGCATCTGTGGGAATGGGTTCAACCACTACCCAGAACCCTTTCTTCAGCTCCTATTGGCTCTACTCCTCCCTTGCCAAACCTTTATTTTGATTCTGGGTTTTGCGAACCTTCTTGAAAGGTTTGGACCTCATTTAGAGTAAAAATTAGGATCGTACCACATTGGTCCATATTGTTTCCATTCTCATAACGAAAGGTAAAGTTATGTATTTCATTAATTTCTCTAATGAATTCATTCGCTTTTCAAAGCCATTGTCCTATTTTGAGACAGGACCTCGTGTACTCCAGGCTGGCCTCAAACTTGTTATGTAGCTAAGAATGACCTGGAACATGTGGTCCTCCTGCCTCCATCTCCTGAGGATTGGGATTAAAGCCATGTGCCATTAAACTCGATATTATACAATGATACAGATTGGACTCGGGTCTTCATGCATGCCGGGCAAACACTCTACCCCAGCTCAGCTGTGTGCCCAACCCCCTTTCTGTGTTTTTCATTCAGAAAAAAGAACTCTGGTTCAAGGAGAAGCAAGTAACGTGGTTGTTCTTTAAACGTCCCTTTAGGCTCTAGCTGAGCCTAACAGACATTCAGATTCTTCTGTGACTGCAGGAACATTCTGCTTCCTTCTACATGTATTACCTTTTACACTTGCCTGTAACGTTCCCCCAGAAGCCTGTCCTTCACTACCAGCATGAGATTGTGAAATGGGAATAAAGGCTTAAAAGAATGTGTGTGCCTCATGTGTGCACGCTATGGGTACACACTCGTGCCTTGAAAGCCTTCCTGTGCGTGCCTGTCATCTCGCACTTCAGCCCGTGCCTCTGTGGCTACTCTCCTACAGATTGTTCTTCCTGCCACTTTCGTGCTTTTGGCTCTGATGCTTTCTGTCGTTGTGCCTCCGTTTGGTGACTTTCCAGCTTTGACCCTTCAGCCCTGGATGTACGGGCATCAATACACCTTCTTCAGGTATGTAGGTTCATCCCTGCGGGACACCATTATCCTCTGATGTGATATTCCTGGGCCACGTGATTGCTACAAAGGTCTTGACCTTCCCGCTTCCCTGGAATCGTCACCAAGGTCAAAGGAGTCTTGGGATTGTTCTTAGAAGGGAAGCTAATGTAGCAGTCACTGCTTAGCAATGTGATACCCAGTGGAAGGTCCATAAGGAAAGAGGATATGAAACTTGGAAAAGGGCATCAAAATTCCATTTTTTGAGGCATAGATAATCAATCATTAGAGCTCTAGGTGTGTATGGTAGGGTACTCTACTTCCAGAAGTCCCACAACCATTCCAAGTCAGGCAGGGTTCAGGGCCTCATATACATGCGTGTCATGGAATTCAGTAAACACTTATATCTGCATGTTAGTGACCATTGTCGTTTTTGTCCTAGTCTATCCCGTGAGCATATCTTTCTCTCTCTGTCTCTCTCTCTCTCTCTCTGTCTCTCTCTCTCTCTGTCTCTCTCTCTCTGTCTCTCTCTCTGTCTCTCTGTCTCTCTCTCTCTCTCTCTCTCNTCTCTCTCTCTCTCTCTCTCTCTCTCTCTCTCTCTCTCTCTCTCTCTCTCTCTCTCTCTCTCTCTCTCTCTCTCTCTCTCTCTCTCTCTCTCTCTAGCATGGATGAGCCCAGCAATGAACACCTCACAGTGCTGGCAGACGTCCTCCTGAACAAGCCGGGCTTTGGCAACCGTTGTCTAAAGAAAGAGTGGCTTCTGTAAGTTCTGCACTAACACAGGAGACCCCCAAACCAGCCTGAAAGTGTTGGGAAAGATCCTTCAATCCTGCCCTCTTATATGGATCACACCCATGTCTCTAAGCAGCACTTGACCCAACTTCTTCTTTAAGCAGAACTTGTATTTTAGAAAGCTCCATCATCAACAGATCTATGTCCCCATCTAGAAATTTTCTACATTCTATATCTATGTATGGAAGAAGACAAAGGATATGTTGTTGTATAATTAGACCTTGAATGACAAGAATTATTTCTATGACCAGCTGGCTCCCACTCACTGTTGTAATTATAGAAAACAGAGTTGTAGAACATAGTTGATCCACCAGGTATCTTTAGAGTTCAGCGTAATTGTAGCATCTTCTTTCATCCGTCTTCCCCAAAGCTATTGCTTAAGAGCAAAACGGACACATTTCAGATTCTTCTGGGTTTTTTTTTTTTCATCTCCCAACAGCAAAAACTGCCAGACAGAAACAAAAGCAAACAAACAAAAAAGCCAAACAACCCCCCCAAAAAAACAGTCCACACACTAGATGGTTATTCTCTAGTTTATACTTTGTCACGAGCAGGACCCCAGTTCTGATATTCCTTAAGCAGACTCTAATCCCCAGGAGGGAAATTTCCTGACTCCAGGGAAGAGAAAAGCAGAGAAGAAGAGAGCCAGTAATGATTTCTCTTTTCTAGGGAATATATATACATTAGCAGTGGGATTGACTGTGGACTATTTTCTCACTTTTCCATAAGGGAGTACCCCTGTGGCAATTCAACCTCCTGGAAGACCCCGTCCGTGTCCCCAAACATCACTCACCTGTTCCAGAAGCAGAAATGGACGGCGGCCCATCCCTCCCCGTCCTGCACGTGCAGCACCCGAGAGAAGCTCACCATGCTCCCCGAGTGTCCTGAGGGCGCTGGAGGGCTCCCACCCCCGCAGGTACGGGCCTTTTTAACAACTGCATACTATTCCTAAGTGTTGGTTGATTTTAAATCATTTCCCATGGTTGATCATTTAGATTCTCCATTCTACATAATGTCGTGCTGCTGTGTATTCAAGTGTTTCTATGTTTACATACTGATTAACAGTTTTAATTAAGCCTACTAGGGGGCCGAGAGTGGAACTCAGCGGTAGGCTGTCTAGCACGCTGTAAAACCCTGGGTTTGATATTCATTACAAGAAAGGAAGAAGGGGGATAATCTATGTGCCTGTGCACTATGTATTTAACATCCATGCGTACACACCCAGCAACTTATCTTTTGCAAGACTCTCAGCCTTGTCTAGAGCTGTGTGCTCTTGACCCAGGCAAGCCCTCCTGGAGGTTTTCGGGAGTGCCTTCCAGGGCGGGAGAGCCCCACCTTTTCTCTGGTTGGTAACAGCCTGCCAGGTGGCTTGGACAGATGATCTCTCATTATTTCTCAAGGAGCGGATGATTCCCAAAGAGGCAGGGTGTTGCAGGAGCAGGGATCAGGCACGGGAGTCGGGAGGCATGGTCTGGTCTCTCGGCCTCTGAACCGTCTTCATTTTCTCTTCTGGGGGCTGAGGAGAACTATACTAGCTCGCAGCATTTTGAGGATTCACAGAAACGTGTGAGTAACAAACTATTTAGGATTACGGTCAGCTCAAGAGATGGCAGCCCTGACCTAACAGTGGCTAAAGCGAGATACAGCTTGCTTCTTGATAGCATGGACGGTCTACCGTGTTCTTTTCTCTTGTTCCTCTGAGCTGCCCGGACCTCTGGCTCTCCAGTCAGAGTGTTAGGAACTATTTTGTTAGGCAGTTGGGTAGAAGAGATTAAGAAAAAGATAACAACGCACGCTTTAAGTGTGTGCACGCAAGGCTTCTAGAAGCTACTGCATAGCCCCTCCACTTCCCTGTCACTGGACGGGACCCAGCATGGAGAGAGACCAGGGACTGTCTCTTTAATTCTGCACAGCCTGTGCCCATGGGAAAAGCCACAACAATAGCAGCAGGAAGAAGACGTCACAGGACAAATAAATGTGTTACGTGTTTCCGTCGCGTCTGTCACGGCTGCTGGCTCACAACTGGTCCAGTGTCAATCTTCTTCTTTTTTAAAAATTCTAAAGCATATGCCTTTATATTTCTCAAGCAATATATTCTCTCTTCGGGCGACATCGATACTGCGGCATTGCAGGTATCCCTGGCTCCCTAAGATTTGGGCTGGGAAAAGAAAAAGTCGAGCCTTGATATACAGGAGTTCATTTCCTCAGTGAGTGAGAGGCTGTCTGTCTAACTCAGAAACTTACCTTCACTGTAACATGGCCCTCGGCCCGTGGGGAGACATTCGAAGTCCTTGAGGAGTCAGAGCAGGTCTGAACTTTAGTTTCCCCAAGTGTCCCTGTTAGCACTCACATCTCCTTAGGAGCAGAACTGAATGTCGCACCTCTATAGAGCCCCCATCTCCTACACACAAGTACATGCGTGCACATGTATATACACATACGTGTACGTGCATTCACATCCACTCACCCTCCCTTTGCACCTTCCCGTTCAGCGAGGGATAAGAGCAGAAGGAGGGCCCTGGTTCAGAGGCGGCGAAGAGAAGGTGGGGGTAGCAGTGTCTGGATCCTGAGGGCAGCAGATCCCCAGGAGCATCCCTTCCTGTTCTAACCTTGCTCCGATAGTGGCGGGCCTTGAGACGGATGCGCCCCATCCCTGACTTCTACTCTATGCAGAGATAAAGTAGAAATGTTGTCGATGACAGAAGTTTTAGAAAACGTTTGTCTCAACCTTGCCCCATGCATCAGCGGTTGTCCCAGCCTGCGACCAGGGTTGTTCGGTTAGGTACTGGGGTCATTTCGAGGAACGGGTGACAGACAGCAGGGGAGTCAGGCGCAGGTGATCCTAGGCCAACCGCACACAAGCTGGCCCACTTTTCCTAACCTCCCTTTCTCCGTAGTAAAGCTCTCTCTAGTGAGAGCAGCAGGGTGGGGTCGTGTGTACAGGACATTCACCACGGTCCCCGGCACGCTGTCTGCCACACTGTCCCTGCCGGGGGCTGCTGCTTCACCTAGCAGGGAGGGAGGATGGTGGAGAATGATCTAAGGGAGGAATCAGGTGGGGGAAGGGAGGGATTTGGAAAACATGAAAAATAAATGTGTTCTGATGGTGGTTTACTGCCACCTTGGATCCCGTCAGCCACTGCTGTGTGGCCCTCTAGACCTCTGACGCTAACTGATCCTGGAAACTCAGCACTGTGTGACATTGCCCCCTGGTGGCCAAGGTCTAGCACCTTTGAGTTCCTCCAAATCTCTTGATGACCTTCCACTCCTAGATATATTTTGGAAGTGATTTGTAAACTGTAAAGTGCTGTTCAAATTATTTCATTTCCAATATATTATCAGACAACTTCATGCTGGGTACTGGGGATGGGGAAGCCAACAAGCCAGAGAAGACCTCTGCTTTCCCAGAATGATGCTGTACGTGGGACAGCGTAGAGGCAGGGAGTGGATGCAGGCAAAGGCATGTTTCCTGTGAGATGAGTGCTGTCGAGGCACACAAAGTGACTGACGGATGCTTTTCATCTTTAAGATCCGTCTGACGGGGGGGGGGGGGGGGAGAGCTGAGTGCAGCGACCCAAGGGCGGAGCCATGGAAACAGTATGGAAGTTTCTGTAGAGGTGTAGGCGAGGTCTGAGTGGTGGCTTAGATTGGGGTGGCAAGCTCAGAATGGGAGACACAGATCCACTGGAGATTTGCTTTGTAGTTAAGTCATGGATGGAGTGAGACAAACGGGGGTGGGAATCAAGGATGACTCCCACATCACCGATGTAGCAACTGGAGCGCTGTCAGGGTCGTGGTCAGTGTTTCCCAGCATCTGAATAACTTTTGGAGAGGAAGAGCGGTTCTGTGAACCCTAACCTCTCAATCCCGAAATCTTGACTGTCACTTCGCCCTAGAGGACACAGCGCAGCATGGAAGTCCTACAAGACCTCACGGGCAGGAACATCTCCGACTACTTGGTGAAAACGTATCCTGCTCTCATAAGAAGCAGGTAGGCGATCCCATCACTGGCTGCCTGTCGACAACACCAACCACGGCAGAAAGTCAGTTTCCCGCCGTTAACTGTGAGGGGGGCAGCAGAATGTTAGGGCCATAGGCAGCAGAAAAAAGCAACTGAGATATATACACATAAGGGGCATCTTGAGGTCAGTTTTCTTGCTTGTTTCTATGTTTAAGATGAGCAGCAGGCATTTCTCCCAGGCACTATTGCAAGTGTCACAAAAAATGCATCTCTTAAGGAGTTACAAAAGAGAGACAGAGTTTCTAGGGCGTGGGAGAACAAGTGGGGGAAGTTGAGGAGCGAAAGTGGAGGAAGTGTGAAGGAGAAACAAAAGGAGACTGAACACGTCCCCAGACACTTTGACGTCTCTCAGCTCTGTGGCTGTCCTTATCAAGCCGGGACTGCAAGGGAAGGCCTTCAGTAGCTTGACAAAAGCATTCTGCCCAGAAAGGCCCTTAAGGAAGTGTGAGCCAGTCTCCAGGTGCTCTACAGCTTTCAAATGACACACGCTGCCTAATATTTAACAGTACTTACTGCGGCCTTCCATAGCAGAGTCCGAGCAAATGCCGAATAGACCTAACGTACTGGAGTGCACTGCAGACGGCTGGACAGCTGCTGGGAAGGCAGGGCCAGCCTGGCAGTGAGGACAAGAGCACCGTCCAATCCAAAGCCAAAAACAGGGGGTGAGTTTGTCCATTAATCCAATAAACAAAACCACCCTAAACCTGACTCAGTAGCATATTTGCATGATGGGATTTTTGAATTTTACTTGATGGCTGATGACAAGGACAGTTCAGTTTGAACTCTAAGGACTAGAGCTTCCCCATCACGCTATCTTACCTCGAAATGCTCAAAAGTCAGTGTCTTAACTGAACGTGGAGGAGTCAGTCAGAACGTCTCCCAGGGATACAGGTGATTAGTGGAATTTCTTAGACTCTGTGAAAGAGGGAGGGCTTCAAGCTTCACTTCATGATTGTTGCCATGTTTTCAAGGTCTAGCCTGGGGTCACTGGTCCAGCATGAGGCCTGTCTAAAGGGCTAGTCAGGAAGTCCAGTGTGCAGGAGACAACTGGGAGAGCCAGAGTTGGAACGCAGTAGTCCTTTCTCTGTGTGCAGATTTACCTGGCGAATACTACATTGCTTAGATATCAGGAACTGCAGAAACACCCCCAGGACTGAGACACCCCAATGAGTAGGAAGAAAAGTTAACATGACTGCTATCCTGATGGTATTTATCACATGCTTTTATTTTGACTTCCAGCTTAAAGAGCAAATTCTGGGTCAATGAACAGAGGTAAGAAACTCCTGGGGGAGGGGCGATTGAAATAGTTAATTTATAGTCGTGGCTGCTAGATCATTAAAATGGTTCGTGCTGAGGAAAAGATAATGATTTCACGCACTATGCCGCAATCTTACTATTTTTTTTTTAAAGCATTAAACATGTCAGGGCAGTGCTGACTGAGGCTGAGACGTTCGGTTCAGTAGGTGGCACTCTTTCCTCGGGGTCAGTTTTTACAGTGGCCTGAAAAGCTTTCAAAAGGCCGTGTCCTAGGAGGTCCTGCCTTTCAAGAGAAGCAGACACCAGAAATTTATGGTCCTGGAACTTACTCTGTAGACCAGGCTGGTCTCAAACTCACAGAGATCTGCCTGCCTTCCCCTCTCGAGTGTTGGTATTAAAGGCATGCATCACCATGCTTGGAAAGGTACTATTTTATGACGAATTCAAATCTTAGATTCTAAGTGTAGATGTTCCCAGATGTTCCCTGGCCTGTTCCATTTAAGTTTCAAGGGAGATGGTCCAGCTCCAGTAGCCACCCTGTTCCTAGAGTATCCTGGAGGTTTTAGCTCTTCGGCACCTTGTGCTTCTGTATGCATTTGGTGTATGTTTGGTTCAAAACAGGCAAACCCGAAGACATCGCAACATCTGACTTCAGACTTCAAAGTCTGTATACTGGCTCAAAGATATGTCTAGAGATAGGAGGGAAAAGCTGTATAAAGTTGGACAGTGTTGCTCAATAGACCAGACAATTCCCCCATACATATACACATATGCGTGAAAAAAGGCCGTGCATTTGAGAGAAAGGAGGACACCTGGGAGGTTTTAGAGGGATGAAAGGTAAGAAGGAAATGGTGTAATTATATTATAATCTCAAAAATAAAAAAATTGCCGGGCGGTGGTGGCGCACGCCTTTAATCCCAGCACTCGGGAGGCAGAGGAAGGCGGATCCCTGTGAGTTCGAGACCAGCCTGGTCTACAAAGAGAGTTCCAGGACAGGTTCCAAAGCTACAGAGAAACCCTGTCTCGAAAAACCAAAAAAAAATAAAAATAAAAAAATAAAAAATTAAAATATAGACACATAGACCAATGGACAGGACTCACACATCAACCCACACAGTTACAGCCACCTGGTTCTTGACAACGGTGCCAAAAACATCTACTGGAAAAAAAGATACTCTCTGCAATACATGATGCCAGGAAACTAGCTATCCACATGTATACAGCGGAAACTAGATTCCCCCTTTCTCACTCTGGACAAAATTGATCAAAATCGATCAGAGACCTTAAGGTAAGTCCTGCAACTTTGTAACTACCAATGGGAAACGACATCAAGATATAAGCACAGGTGCAGGGCTTCTAACAGCTCAGGAAATAAGAGCAGATTGAAGGCTTCTCTAAAACAGAGAAAGTCATTACCTAAGGAAAGAGTGGAAGAAAATCTTTACCAGATAACCATTCAACAAGGGACTAATATCCACAATATATAAGGAACTCATAAAGTTAAATACCAAAAGAACAAATAAACTAATAAATGAATAATGAAGTGAACAGACCTTTCTTAAAGGAAATACAAGTGACCAATAAACACATGAAAGATGCTTGCTCTGTTCAAATACCAGGGGAATACAAATCAAAACTACATGGGAATCCCATCTCTCCCTGGTCAGAAGGACCGACAAGAAGAAGGTAAGGAAGAACAAGTGCTGTTGAGGATACCGAGGGGAGAGGACCCCGTAAGAACCATATGTGGGACTGCATTTGGTCGCTATGGAAACCAGTACAGAGGTTCTTCCAAAAACTAAAAGCAGAGTGATGTTCGATCTATTCCACCCCTGACGTCTTTCCAAAGGAACGTAAATTAACATACAACAGATATATGCTTGCACACCTAAGTTTACCGCAACATTGTTTGCGACAGCCAAGCGAAGGAATCCGCCTAGGGGCCCACCGAAGAAAATGCCGTGTGTGGTTTTATATGCACCATAGAGAAGAATGAAATCATGCCATTCTCGGGAAAAGGCATGAAACCAGAGATCAAAATCGCTCAGAGTTAGAAAGTCAAATGTATACTTAATCTCAGATGTGGAATCTAGGGCGTGGGTTTATTAGCTTTTAGGTCTAGAGATAGGAGAGAAAAGTGTGTAAAGTTGGACAGTGTTGCTCAATAGATCAGACAATTCTCCCATATGCACACCCCTGCAGAAGCTGATATATAACCCTGGCGGGCGTGAGCGTGGCGGGCATGAGCATCTTGGCACTGACAGGAGGCTTTCTTGCTGCCTTGCAGGTATGGCGGCATCTCCATCGGAGGGAAGCTCCCTGCCATCCCCGTCACAGGGGAAGCACTTGTTGGTTTTTTAAGTGACCTTGGCCAGATGATGAATGTGAGCGGGGTAGGTAAACAGGGTCGAATTTTTGACTTGTTTGAATATGAAGAGAAGGAAGTTATCCTACACACTAGAGAAGGGGGGACTATGAAAAGAAACATTTCTTTCTTTGTTATGCTATTCTAGGGTCCTGCCACCAGGGAGGCCTCTAAAGAAATGTTAGATTTCCTCAAACATCTTGAAACCAAAGACAACATTAAGGTAACTGACCCGAAGCTAAAAACTCCTGCGGGCTCATAATTTGACTGTTTTCACCCTGCTCAATTAAATCCCATTGCACCTGCTAAAACCAAGCGAGAAATGGCTGCCAAGTTCTTCCTTCTTGGCCACATTTGTTTTGCTGCTGGTAACAGCCTGTCTGTGTCCCCTCTCTGGAGCCTGGGTTGTAGCTCAACCCGTCCGGTCAAGACTGTCTCTGTCTGTCCCTCCTAGGTATGGTTTAACAACAAGGGCTGGCATGCCCTGGTCAGCTTTCTGAACGTGGCCCACAACGCCATCTTACGGGCCAGCCTGCCCAAGGACAAGGATCCTGAGGAATACGGAATCACGGTCATCAGCCAGCCCTTGAACCTGACCAAGGAGCAGCTCTCAGAGATCACAGTGTGAGCAGCCACCACCCCAGGCTCCCAGCCCCCTCCCTGTCTTATTCTCTCACTGGAAACCAAAGAGAATCTTTTTAGTGTTATGAGGCGCAGGCCTGAGCAGTAACGTTTAATTGGGCTCATAGGAATGTACCAGCTTCAAATGCTTCCTGCACCAAATTGCTTGGCTGTTCTTGCCCATCTCCATTTATTTGGAAGTAAATGAACACTTTATGCTGTTCCCTTGGGGCCCTTGATAACAAGTTCCTCCTGAATTACACCACTAACCTCCCTGCCAGGACATGAAGAACCTGCCAGGACCTGGAAGGTTCAGGGAGTCTCCTCCACTTCCCTGGCAGAGTTGTGGCTTCTGGTAATTCCCCGCAGATAGCCCTGCTTTGGATAGCCATGTTTGTGTTCCTCAGGATTGTACTCTCATATCTGAGCCTCAGGCAGGAAGAACATTGATTGGTCTTGCATGTGTGAGGCACCATTTGCTCTACTTGAGGCCTACAGAGAGGAGAACTTAGGAGAAGGGTTTTCTTTTTTAAAGTTTTTCAAGACAGGGTTTCTTTGTGTAGCCCTGGTTGTTCTAAAACTCTCTCTGTAGATCGGGCTGGCCCTGAGCTAGAGATCTGCCTGCCTCTGTTTCCCAAGTGCTCAGGTCAAAGGCATGCATCACCACTGCCTGGCTAGGAAGTGCAAACTTCTAGGAAGCTACTGGAACCTCCTAGGGTTTAGGAAGGATTCAGTGTCTACTCCCAAGCCAAACGCCTTCCGTGTGGCTCCAGAGACCAACCTTACATAACTAGCTTCATATTCTTTGAGTTTACATGTGACCGTTTCTTTTTTTTTTTTTTAAGATTTATTTATTTATTTATTTATTTATTTATTATGTATACAACATTCTGCCTCCATGTATGCCCATGTGCCAGAAGAGGGCGCCAGATCTCATTACAGATAGTTGTGAGCCACCATGTGGTTGCTGGGAATTGAACTCAGGACCTCTGGAAGAGCAGCCAGTGCTCTTAACCACTGAGCCATCTCTCTAACCCCATGACCGTTTCTGTGATATGTGATTTCAGAGAATAGAAGCCTGTCTATGCCTGCAGGAAACTCAAGAGTCTATAGAAAAATTCAGAGCTAAGTAGAATTTGGAATTGCTACAAACATTCATTTGTATACACCATAATAAATAAGTATGAGTGAAATAAAAGGAAAGGCTGTCCGGAATGTTCTCATGCATCAGAGAAGCAACCTATAAAAACATCCACTTCGCCTTGATTAGGACAATCCCGTGAGATGATGAGCTTCACGCTGGGGATATGGGTCTAAAGGTAAGGACTGCCGGAGCCTCCGGTGTGCCTTCCCTGGGTTTCTGATGTTCCCTCTCTCTGGTCCTGCTGCAGGCTGACCACTTCCGTGGATGTCGTCATTGCCATATGTGTGATTTTCGCCATGTCCTTCGTTCCAGCCAGCTTTGTCCTTTACTTGATCCAGGAGAGGGTGACGAAAGCCAAGCACCTGCAGTTTGTCAGTGGCATGAGCCCCACCACCTACTGGCTGACCAACTTCCTCTGGGACATTGTGAGTGCCAGGCCTTCCCTCACTTCCCGGGGCCCAGAGAAGGACTGGCAGTGGGGAGGGCTGCTGGGAAAATGGTCTTGTGACTGCTACCCCTTGACACCTGCTTAAAAAGGCAGGTGGGAACTAAACCTTGGGAAGACCACAGAGCAGAATTAATAGCCACTGAATAGGGGCGCCTCTGGGCCTGTCACCAAGAGGGTTTCAATGCACCCCAGGATCTCTCTATGCCAGAGATGAGTGAGTAGCGGGGGTCTGATTAGGTAATACCAAAAGGACTCTCCATCGTCTCTGTCTTAAGTCCTGCCTCAACCTCCCCAAAGGGGAAGGTAGAACTTCCTTGTGATAAGGTCACCAGAAAAGTACAGTCTAAGCACCAACTCTGAGCCTCAGGATAAACAACGAACAACTTGTAGCATAAATATATCACATATATCCCACCTCAATTATTGCATGGCACATATTTATAGTAAAAGTCGTTAGCGGCTTATCAGAAATTCACATTTAATTGGGCATCCTATATTTTAACTTGCCAAATCTGGAAATATTATCCAGAAGCCTTATTTTACTTCTTCAAAGTAACCAGGGGCCAGTGAGAGGGCTCAGCAGGTAAAGGAGCTTGCCGCACAAGCCTGACGACCTGAGTTCGATCCCTGGCACAAATATAAAGGTAGAAGGAGAGGAGCAACCGCAGAAACGTGTTCTCTGCCTTCACACATGTGTGTGGTTGTAGCGTGTACACCCACATATATCATGCGCACACACTCACACGGTAATCATTTTAAATGACTATATTTATTATGTTTTCGATCAGCTACCATGTTAGGGAAAATTAAGAAAAAAAACGCAAACAGCAATCAATGTTGGTGGGGGCAGAGAGAGATCACAATGCTGTGTTACTACAGGTCACAGGATCAAAGGAACTGTTAACAGACTCTACTTAGGATGGGACAGGGTAACTGACTGTGATACCAACTTATCTTTTCTTGTTGTCTTGAATAATGAGTATTTTTTTTTTTTTTGAAACAGGATCTCACTATGTAACCCTGGCTGGCTTGGAACTGGATATGTAGACCAGGTTGGCCTCGAACTCACAGAGATCCACCTGCTTCTGCACCCAAGTTCTGGGATTAAAAGCATGCGCCACCACACCTGGTCCATGAGATCTTTGTTTTATCTCAACATTACAAGAACAAAATGAGGCTTCTCTCATGATGATAAAAACATGTCGGCTCATGGAGACCAGCACAAATGACCCTCTCTCTCCCTGTGGCTTTTACTAATGAATCTGACTACGAAGATTCTCCATGACATGGTTCCTTTGAACTCACTCGACTTATTATGTAGCTATCACTTAACAATACAAAACTGGAACACTTCACTGGCAACTGAATTATTTCCTTTCTCTTCTGCTTGCATAAAAGTTCACCTTCAGGTGTAAGGGGCGCTTGGGGGGCTACCGGCTTCTCTTTGTGCTGTGATTTTAGCAGGAAAGGAGTTGGGCTCGCCTACCTTAAAAAGCTAACTGTTAAAAGTGTTCACTTGCTTTTTTTTAAATTAATTTTTTTTTTAGTTTTAGTTTATTTGTTTTTTGGGTTTTTTGTTGTTTGTTTGTTTGTTGTTGTTGTTGTTGTTTGAGACAGGGTTTCTCTGTGTAACAATCCTAGCTGTCCTGGATCTCACTGTGTAGACCAGGTTGGCCTCAAACCTCAAACACAGATCTGCCAGACTCTGCCTCCCATTGATGGGCAGTGGTGGCTGCTGCCACCGACATCACCCAGCTGAAATGGGCCTAGGATCTTTTTTTAGATGTATTTTTATTCTGTGTGTGTTTAGGTGTGTATGTTCGCCTGTGTGTATACATGCACCACATGCATGCCTGATGCCCAGAAGAGAGCATCAGATCCCCTGAACTGCAGTCACGGTTAGTTGATAGCCACTGTATAGGTGTTGGGGACCCAACCTTAGTCTTCTGCAAAAGCAGCAAATGTTGACTGTTGAGCTGTTACACTAGCCCCTGTTTAACTGTTTTAAAGATGAGGTACATAATTTACACTTGGGACTGGCCTGTGCGTATATTTGTACAAGGAGAGGTCTTGAAGCCAGTAGAAAGGGCATGGCTACAAGAAGGGGGTGGGCATCTCAGGTAGAAGTGGCACTAGCAAGGTAGACAGCAGCCCATTCTTTCAAGGGCCAGAAGATGCTGGCTACAGCCTTGCAGAAATGTATAGCTTTCTGGAACTCTGAGCTCTAGTCTAGAATTAAAGAGCTCATTACTCTAGTTGGTCCGTGGCAAAAAGACAATGCATGCCTGGGAAGTCGTTGTTGAACTAACAGTTAGCTGTTTATATCATATACTCAGGACACCTGTGGCATTAGAAATTTCTGTCCTGTGTGTGTCATCTGCTTTTCTTTTAAATGTTGAAGCCGTCTTAGACCTATAGACGTGGCAAGCACAGCTTAAAACCTTTTGAATTAGTTGAAAGTTTCTCTCTCTCTCTCTCTCTCTCTCTCTCTCTCTCTCTCTCTCTCTCTCTCTCTCTCTCTCAGGTCCCTCCTGGTCTTAACCATATGCATACCTAGTTTTACATAGGTAGAATATGGTAGATAGGGAATCTCCCCTAAAAGTTTACTTGGGGATACAGTTTTGCCTTATGGTACCTGTCTAGGCTGAATAGGTCCATTACCTAATTCCCAGACTGTGTTCCAGGGAGTCTGCAATCTGAATGGGGCATATCAAGGGATTGCTAAAAGGAGTAACTTATTTCTATTGTTTCAAACAGATGTGCATGCAGCTTGGTTTACAGGGGAGCCCTTAGTTGCTCACAAGTTTTGTGGGTGTATTGTTTGGAGATGGATGTGTGTATAGCCCAGTCTGCTAAGCTATTCCCTATGCCTGTCTGTCTCAACAGGGCCTTTGGCGTGCGTTCCATTGCCCTCCTCACACTGACCAGGCTTCACCGTGGTGGAGATCTAATCTTGCCAAGTCTAACCTAATGTCTTCAGAACCACATTGTTTAGAAGAGTTACCCCCACCATGTGACCTTTTCAAGACCAAGGACTATATTTTAAGTTTTTCCAAATTCTGGAAACATGTATAGAAAGAATAACCTCCAGGGCTTTATGACCAATTAGTGAGAGAGAAAGAGATCGCATAGAATTTTATATCCGTCGTTTTCAAAGATACAGACTGCTAGTCTTTGAACAGGGGTAAAAAAGAGGTTGTGAGTACACTATGAACAGCTTAACCGATATCTTAACTCTGTATGTTAAGAAAAACCAGTTTGGACAAGCGGGCTCAATCCAGACCATAAGAGCTGGAGGAGCCTGGTCCCCAGGTCATAGAGCTCCAGTGACTTTTTGTCTTGTCTCTCCAAGATGAACTATGCTGTGAGTGCGGGACTAGTGGTGGGCATCTTTGCTGGGTTTCAGAAGAAAGCCTACACATCCCCAGATCACCTTCCTGCTCTCGTGGCTCTGCTCATGCTGTATGGGTAAGTCTTCCGGGCCAGGGGAGGAGGTAGATTTTCTGGTACCAAACTTGGCTCCTCTTGTAGTGGGAGCATGTGCAGGTTTAGCCACGGACACTTCCATGGTAGCTAATCCGAAACCTGTCTAGCTGACTCCAGCTCTCCAAGTCTGAGCCCTAGTCCATTCAGGGGTACAGAGATGAATGCCACATAGTCTAAATCTTCTTCACTTCCAACTGTGGCCTTGAAAAAAGCCTGGGACTCGGTCACCCTCTACTCTGATTTCTATCCCCTCTGTGGGCAAACTGTGCAGCGCAGTGTCTCCCTCTGTTCTTGCCAAGAGTTATCTGCATAGAGTAGACGATTCCAAGCCATAACACCACCCCCACATCAGCCTAGAAGAGGACATAGAGACGAAATCCAGTCAAATTATGGAGTACAGCATGCAGCATTGTATCCCAGGCCTATTAACTGTGGACAAATAATTCATTTAACTGGACCTCAGACTCCTCATCCATAAAAAAGACTGAAGCCTGGCCCATCCTTATAAAGAGAGGAGAGTCTTAGCAGAACAACAGCCTCCATTCATCCCAGAACAATGGCCTCCATTAATCCCTCTTGAAAATAGACTCAGTAGTCAGCTTGACTGTGAACGATGAAATGATGAAGATGAACTCTTGGGACCTTCAGTTCTGCCTTACCCGGAGCAGAGCGCATTACTGTGGGTGACCGCCAAGCTTTAGGGCTCATAAAGTTCACACATAGCTCCTGCCTCATTCGCTCCTCATAAAACCCATGCGATGGTCAGGGCAGGCATCGTCATCTCCTTTGGAAGATGAGGCACGAAAGCCAAGGAATGGAGTGTCTCCTTGCTCTCCCTGGGACCCCAGCCAGTTCAAATATGTCACCTTGTATCTAGACATAGAGTTGATGGGATGGATCTCGGAACTCTCTCCCTGAGCTCTGTCATCTCTCACAGATGGGCAGTTGTCCCCATGATGTACCCAGCATCCTTCCTGTTTGACGTCCCCAGCACAGCCTATGTGGCTTTGTCTTGTGCGAACCTGTTCATCGGCATCAACAGCACTGCCATCACCTTCATCCTGGAACTATTTGAGAATAACCAGGTGAGCAGAACTTTCTAGCTTCTTGGTTTAATTGGTAGGATGGTAGAGCAGACGTACCAGTCCCCGGAGCCATCGCAAACACTGTGCGTGCAGATTCATGTGCACAGGTGAGCAAGCTGCCTCCCTTACCCTTACCCAACACTGCTCCCTACTCTTGTCTTTTGATTTATGTGCTCTGAGCACCAGGGTTCTGTAAGCCTCTTCTTTAAGCGATATACATTCCCTCATGATTCTGCCTTTTTAGATTAAAGCTAGAAAGTTTCCTTAGGGGAATTTAGGTTACACACACACACACACACACACACACACACACACACACACACTCATACTCATACAATGACATTCAGGTGATTTCATATAAGGACCACACACTAACTGAATGTGCCCCAGGAGCTTCTGTTCATGTGACTCCCAAATCTAAAAGAAACAAAAAGATTGCCATAATGAAAAAGCTCCCTCCTCACTTCGGTTCCCCCAGTTCCCTTATCCAGACCCCACCTTATTGCGGTTCCTAACATTTCCTGAAGACACACAAACAAACACATAGTTTTCCTCCAACTTTTACATATACACAAATGACAACATACTAGCATACTGCCCTGCTCCCAAAGGAATCCTGAGTACAGGATTAGGAAATCCTGGTGCTGAATGACTCCATCTTACAAGTTAGGAGGCCCACCCCCTGACTTCTCCCTCTCCAGAAGGGGATGGCCAGACAGAACCCTTAAAAAGAGGGGAGTATGTGGCTGCAGGTCTACCTTTATCCCTCACCCCTTTTGGTTACGTCCTGCTCAGGCTACCCCATGCTCTGGCGGTCCTCCAGCAATCCAGCTCCCTGGGGGGCGGAGTCTGTGTCCTCAAGTGTCTCTTTAGCCTGCCCTTTCTCACTAGTTCTTCTCAGTTCAGAGGGTGGCCACTGGGCGCTGCCAGAGGACCAGCGTCCCTGGCCTTGCTCTGTGAAGGCACTGGAGCCTACCTGCTCACAAGGGGACAGTTGGCCTCAGTTTCCACCCTCAACCGCCTCCCTCTCATTCTTAGCCGCTGCTCAGGCTCAACGCCATGTTGAAGAAGCTGCTTGTCGTCTTTCCACACTTCTGCCTGGGCAGAGGCCTCGTCGACCTGGCACTGAGCCAAGCTGTGGCAGACGTCTATGCCCAATTTGGTGGGTAACATCCTAGGTCTGTAGGTCACAACCGTGGATCCATCCAGCCTGGGAAAGTTACAAGGGTTCTACGTCAGACCTGCAGCCTAGCGGTTGGAGCGGGGGGGGGGGGGGGGGGGGGGGGGGGGGGGGGGGGGGGGGGGGGGGGGGGGGGAGAACCTAAATCCTGGTCAGGAATTACGCTGCCATTTAGAAGGAATTAAGGTGCCTCTGTTTCTATGGCTGGGAGCCACAGGTGGGGCAAAGGGCAGGATCTTACACTCCTACACTCTGACCTGGGGAGCCAAGAAGAACTTGATTTGGGGGTCTCATTTAGCCTCTCCCCCAGACCTGGGCATCTGGGTCATAGTCGGGTCTTCGTGGGTGAGCCTGGGAACCCTAAAGCAGACTATGCCTCCTAATGTACTGTTGCTTCCATCCCCAGGGGAGGAATACTCCTCCAACCCCTTCCAGTGGGACCTGATTGGGAAGAATCTGGTTGCTATGGCAACAGAAGGGGTGGTCTACTTCCTTCTGATACTCCTCATTCAGTACCACTTTTTCTTCACCCGGTGGTATGTTCTTGTTTTGGGCTTTTTGTTTTTGTTTGTTTGGTTGGTTCTGGTCTTTCTCTGTGCAACAGTCCTGGCTGGCCTGGAACTCACTCTGTAGACCAGGCTGGCCTTAAACTCACAGTGATCTGCCAGCCTCTGCCTCCCAAGTACTGGGATTAAAAGCGTGTGCCACCACCGCCTGGCACCTGGTGGTGTGTCTTACTGCACCCCGAGGTGCCATCTGGTCACAAGTGTTTCCAGCCCTGGCCTTTGTATCAGCGTGGTTCTCAGAAACTGCATGCCTTATTGATCTTTTTCTTCACTCTTAAGGCCCAGCTTGTTCTGCTACAGGGAGAAGGCTTAAAGTAGGCCTGTTGGAACTTGAGGCAAGTCTTAGCTTCAAACTTTTAGAAATACATTTTTTTTCCATTTCAGTTACTAATATTTAAATTTCTGTGTAGTTACCACATACCTATCTTAAGCTGAGTGCTAGCACTCTAAATAAGAATAATTAGGGACTATCTAAAATATGAGGAACCAGGGTTTTGATCTATGAGAAGAGAGAGACAGAACAAACTCCCTTGCTGTCTTTAACACCGAGTGCAGGAGTAACCTTGGGACCTTGTGCCCGGTGAGGGCAGCCAGGGGCCTGGGGAGAGGTGAAGGAAAGCTACCCTACCTCCATGCCCATAGCCAAGCTAGCTCTCTGCCAACCCTAGACTTCCCAGGACATCTCAAGAGGCAGCTCAACCAGCTTATGCTCCTGCCCAGCCATACTTCCCCAGGCTCTCCCCCAGCCCTGCCTGCCTCATGCTGACCCCAGCTTGGTTTCTGGAGTATAACCCCTTCAGAGGGCCACACCCAGGGCCCTGCATCCCTATCACCCAGGCCCTCCCTAAAGATTTTTATGACATTTTTTTTGTTGTTGTTGTTGTTGTTTCTTAACCTTTCCTCCTCTCAGGGTGAGTTTGATAAGATGTAAATAAAAGGACTCCAGGGCCTGGCGCATTATAAATGATCTGCTTCCCTAATCGCATGGTTGAGAGGGCTGAGGAAGAAAATAAATCAACACATGTAGAATACACAGTCAATAGTGCTTCTAGTTATGGGTCGGACTGTGAGAAGCTCTTGGCGGGTCTCTCAGCTGTCCGCAGACCCCTCAGAAGTGCTGTTCATACAGTTTAAAAGAGAAGAGGGGGAAAGAGTTGATTGCCCAAACTAAGTCCTGAGCTTTAAACTCTGATACCAATAGAATTGAGTGAGTCCTACAGAAAATCAGAGTGGCCAGGGCTTCCAGACACTCAACAAATATACCCATGCAGGTAATTAGCAAGCAAAGGGAGTGGAAGGAAGAAAGGATGTCCTCTTGGTAGAGGAAAGGCCTACACCAAAGCGCAGCAGCCCCAGAGAGTAAGACTGATACGTGGAACAAAAGGACTTCCAGGTAGCCATAGAACAGGAAGATGAAGGGGTACAAAGGGGGAAGACGGGGTTGGGTCATGAAATACTCCTTATCTGGATGACTTGGGATTCAAGGCTATAAGCAGCGTGAACTCCCTGGGGTATTCTAACCATGATCTTACCACGGCTGAGAGGTGAGATAGGAGTCCGTGATGATCTGCAAAGAGCTGGATCTGCAGTGAGCTGGATAGGGACGGAGGCATCGGGCGGTGATAGAGAAAAGCGGAAGAAAGTCTCTTAGACAAGATTTAGCAGTAGATCAGAGACAGTCAGCGAGGGAGGAAGGAGAGGCTGGAGTCCTAGGTCAGGCATGTCTGAGTTATAGCCTACAGGCTGTACGCCTCCAAGGGTAGCCAGGAATACAGCTTAACACACTTGTAGGTGACAAAGTCATATATCAGTGTCAAAAGGTCAGACACTGGGCACATAGGTGGTCAGCAGGATTTCCAGAAGAGGAAGATTCTTTCGGCAGGGTAGGAGGAGGAGAACACACTGAGGCTACCAAGTGAGAGGAGCCTGCATGAGGTAGGGACTAGGGCGAATGGCAGGGTTGATGGAGAAGTGGATGCATTACAAATGTGCAGGTGGCAAAGGCATGTGGAACCTGCCTGCAGGACATAGAAGCTTGGAGAATTTAGACTTGGAACCTAGAGCATCCAACAAACCAAGAAAGATTTGGAACCATGTGTTAATACAATGGCAAAGCTATTTTGACATTGATAGGAAAGGCTGGAGGAAAGGGGAAGGCTGGTAGATAATAACCCATGGACGTTTCACCTGCCAGAGTGGAAAGATTTTATTTTTTTTAAAGATTTATTTATTTATTTATTATGTATACAACTTTCTGCCTCCATTTATGCCTGCATGCCAGAAGAGGGCGCCAAATATCATTACAGATGGTTGTGAGCCACCATGTGGTTGCTGGGAATTGAACTCAGGACCTCTGGAAGAGCAGCCCCAGTAGAAAGATTTTAACAGTATAATACTAGCTCCCAGATCCTGAGCCTTCACTCTGTACCAGACATCATCCAAAGTTCATCTTCGCACATCCCCGAGACGACCTTCTTTCCCCTTCACATGGTTGAGGAAGGCAAGGCTCAGAGAGGTCCGGAGGCGAACACGAGGTCGCGCATTAAGAGGGCAGGGCTACAATGCAGGGCTGATTTGAACAGAAGCCCTTGACCTCTTTCCTAGTACCCCTCCTGTCAGGACTTAGAGGAAAGAAGCCCAGGGGAGTAGAAGTGGGGGAGTGGATGGCAGGTAGGAGGAAGGGAACCATGTGGCAGTTACTGCACACCAAGCCCCATCTTGTCCACATCCCTTCCTCTAGGGTCGCTGAGCCGGCTAGAGAGCCCATTTTTGATGAAGATGACGATGTGGCTGAAGAAAGACAAAGAATCACTAGTGGGGGAAATAAAACCGACATCTTATGGCTAAATGAACTAACCAAGGTGAGGGGCACAAGTGGGCAATGCTATCTTAGCGGTGCGAGCTGAGCGCACACATGGCGCAGGACCATGTATGCCACCTCTGTATTGTCGCTTGCCTTCCGGGAGCACCCATTTCCCATGGTACTGCCCCTGCTGGTCATCTTGGGTACTGCAGGGCCCCCAGATGAGCTTCTCCAACTGAGCGTCAGCATCTTCTCTCTGTTCTGCATGTGCACCGTGCGGTTCAGTCTCGACACCGCTGTGTTCATCTGCTGCCGTGTTAATGTGTAACCTCCTCATGTTGGTGCCTTTCTCCCAAAGCTCTGCTGCCTTCGACTCAGGCTCCACTGCCTGCTCTACCCCTATCTTGGTCTTCAACCCAGTTTCTTTGAATCTCACAGGTTTATTCGGGCTCTTCCAGTCCAGCAGTAGACAGGCTGTGTGTCGGAGTCCGTCCTGGAGAGGTGGGTACCATACAGACTACCATGAAATAACTCTTGAGAAAAACCACCCCTTAACCATGAATCTTCCCCCTCTGAGCAAAGCTGGACAGTAGGAAACTAATGAAAGCCAAACTTTCTAGTAGATGCAGGGAGGAAAAACAGATTAAATTTACTGTTTTTATTTTGCCCAATATATCTAAAACATTTTTTCAATGTGTAATTAATATAAAACATTACTGAGACTTTTTTTTTTCACTTTTCTTTGTTGTTCTTATTCTAAGTTCTCAAAGCCAGTGTTACATACTTAGTGCCCAAGTCAATTAGGATTAGGTGTGTTTTGTGTTGGTAGCCATACATAGCCATTAATCTCTATAACAGCAGTCTATGTATAAAATGACTCCCAGATCTTACACTGGCCTGGGGTCTGGCAGTGAAGGCCTCCTTAGTCCCTAGGGCAATACCTGTTCTCTGTTTCCACCTAGTGCTTTGGTCTCCTGGGAGTGAACGGTGCAGGCAAAACAACCACATTCAAGATGCTCACTGGGGACACCACAGTGACATCGGGCGATGCTACCATAGCAGGCAAGAGGTGAGCGCTCTGTCCTTCCTGTTGCAGGGTGTCCCCCAGGGGTCATGTCCTTGTGCTAAAATAAGGAGAGCCATTCTCAGTCGTGTGCCAGGGCAACTCTGAGACCCAGAACGACCCATGCAGGAGGGAGATCTCCCACCGAATGTCATTTAAAAATACACCAGACAGAGGCACACTGGGAAACCAAGCTAAACTGTATTTAAAAGAGTGCTCATAGCATGGAGTCCTAGAAAGTTCTGGGAATCACCAAGCCAAGGCTTCTTCATCTCTTTGGGCTACAGACTGTTTTCAGCAACCCAGGAGCCCTGTGTCTTCTTCCTCTGTAAAGAATATTCTGTGGTTTCCCATTATCTCCCTCCTGACAGTTTATAAAGCTTCAAGGAATTCACTGAGCCCTGGGGTACACCCGTGATCCCCCTGCAGCCTCTGAATCCCAGGCTAAGAACTCCCGGGGTAATACGTCCTGTCTCTGGGTTGAATTTCAGAATAGAAGTCCTCATTCAAGGGACCACAGGAGGACTTTCTCGGCATTGGCTGTGTGTGTGTCCATCCTAGCTCTCATCAGACTAAGGAAAGCTGGGAAGGAGAAAGCTGGCCGGTAGCCCTGGCTTCTGGAGAGTCACTGTCGGCCTCTGTAATAATGTGGTTTTAAACAGACTTGGCCTCTACGAGGCAGGGCAGGGAAGAGGATGAATGGCCTCCTCATTGCTGGCTGCTCCTGAACAGCAATGTTGTCACTCAGTGAGAGGGTTCACAGCACTCTGCCCCGGTTTGTAAGTGGATACAGACACTGCTGACAACTCCCCAACATCTGCTTGACAAAGACCACCCCCCTCCTTTACTCAAAAGTAGTGCTCGACCCGGCCCAATGGGCAGCCAAAGTCCTGAGCACATCTCTGGGACTCAGATAAGATGAATCTGGGGTCCCAGCCTTCCATGGTTGTGCCCGGTGGATCTGAAGCAAACAGACTACAAAGATAGAGCCAGGTCATGGCTGAGTGTATCTCATCTTCCACCCGGCTAGCTGTCACCAGGCAAGTGACTTCACAGTGGTAACAACAGGAGTTATGGAGAAAAGATTTAGTGGGGGGGATGAGGGATGTGGTAGCAAGTTATTAGGTGACACCAGTTTGGGTACAGGTGAGACATGGCCTGATAGTCTAAGGTAAAACTAAGCTGCGAGTTAGAAAGAAAGCCAGGGTTTAAAGAGGGCAGCTTCGGTGGGATTAACACCTGTGAATTTGCCAAGGTTGCTTCATTGTTTCCCCCGTGTGTTTTCAACTGACCTACCTATACCTTGAGTGACCTTCGTCACAGTGAGGGACTGCAATGGACTCCCTATGTCCCACCCTAGTCTAGCCACCCTTTATTAATAAGCCCTTAGCTGTAAGGGTTGGGCAAAGGTGATTTGACAAAATCACCTATGTAGAGTTTTGTTGTTGTTGCTCAAGTCAATACCTTTCTTGTGGGGTATCTAAATGGAATAGATACCATCAGATGGGGAAGAGGGAACCCTATTCTGCCGCTGGCTAGCCTCCTGCTCCAGTGGTTATCTGATTGTCTCTCTTTGTCTGCCAATAAACACAGAGGAAGAAGTTCACTTCCACTGGGAGGTAGCCACCTTTTCCAAGCTACTCCCTAGATATCTGAAAGGGATCAGAATCCATTGATGATCCATTGATCATTTCTTAACCTTTGTTTTTAAAGCCTCAAGCCAGATGATCCAACCTAATCATTCGAGTGGCCGTTTGTCTTAAGACCTGGAAACTCAGGAAGATTTGACTAGTTTTAAAGCTCAGGACTCCTGATGAAGTTCGTGCTTCCAACTAAAGTATCCCCACTTGGATTTCCGAATTCCATGTGTGTTTTTAAGATGGAGGTTTTGGCCCAATGGCAGCAGACTCTCCAGCTCCTGCTCCCTGGTCACCTCCTCTAGGAAGGACACTCACTAATTGTTTTTTTCTTCTTGCAGCATCTTAAACAGTATGTCTGACGTCCATCAAAACATGGGCTACTGTCCTCAGTTTGATGCAATTGATGACCTACTCACGGGCCGAGAACATCTTTACCTCTATGCCAGGCTGCGGGGCGTGCCAGCAGAGGACATTGAGAAGGTGAAAAACAGTTTGTTGTGACTTTCCAAAATATACAAAGAACTCAAGAAACTCTATATCAAAAAACCAAATAATCCGAAAAAAGGGGGTACAGACCTAAACAGAGAACTCTCAACAGAGGAATCTAAAATGACTGAAAGACACTTAAGGAAATGCTCAACATCCTTAGCCATTAGAGAAATGCAAATCAAAACAACTTTGAGATTGCAAGCTGGTACAGCCCCTTTGGATATCAATATGATGATTTCTCAGAAAATTAGGAAATAACTTTCCTCAAGACCCAACAATACCACTTTTAAGCATATACCCAAAGAATGCTCAATCATATACCACAAGGACATGTGCTCAACTATGTTCATAGCAGCATTATTTGTCATAGCCGAACCTAAAAACAATTCATATGTCCCTTGACCAAAGAATGGATAAAGAAGATGTGGTACATTTACACAATGGATTCCTATACAGCAGAAAAAAAATAACAACATCTTGAAATTTGCAGGCAAATGAATAGATCTAGAAAACATCATATTGAGTGAAGTAACCCAGACCCAGAAAGACAAATATAATATGTACTCAATCATAAGTAACTTTTAGACATAAAGAAAAGAAAAACCAGTATACAATTCACAATCTCAGAGAACCTAGACAACAAAGAGGACCCAAAGAGAGACTTACATGGATCTAATCTATACGGGAATTAGAAAAAGACAAGATCTTCTGAGTAAATTGGAAGTGTGAGGATCATGGGAGAGGGAAAAGGGAAGGGGCGAGGAAGGGAGAGGAGTGGAGAAAAATATATAAATCAATAAAAACAATAAAAGGGGGAAAAATAAAATATATTAGACAACATGTTAGTTGGATGGTGAAAATTAATGTCATGTAGAATGCTCCCAGATATGATACTCTAGTATTATACCTAGATCCAGCTTCACTTACGTAGACTCCTGGCGGACAATGTACAACCTGAATCTTATCATTAAAAAAAAACATAAGATAAATTCTAAGGAAATAATATTCATTTTAAAAGAAGGTGAGAAGGAGGGACTATATATGTCTTTAATATCACATGTTACTGCTCACAGGAGGCTAACGTAACACAATGAGGGCTATAAAGATGACCACATGGGTAGAGCCCTTGCGCAATTGAGAGGACCTGAGTTTGAACCCCCAGTCAGGTTCAATGTGGTGGAGCATGTCTACAACCCCAGGGCTCCTACCAGCAAGATGAGAGACAGGAGAATCCTCAAAGCTCATGGGCCACCTAGCCTGGCATACACAGCGGTGAACAAAGAGACCCTGTCTCAACAAGGTGGGAGGGGGCAGGGGAGCAGCGCTGGGGGTCGTCTACTGTCTGCCACGTGTGTGCTGAGGCAAATGTGCACCTGCGATGGTGCACAACCACCCCACATACACATCCTGGGGTTGGCGTGGGGGCGGAGGGCTTGAAACTATATTTCCAAACAACAGGTTTAAAATGGCACCTGTGGGAGAATAGGAATCAGATTAAGTAAAATATCCAGTGAGTTAGTTAGAGAGAAGCAAGTGCTGAGAGGAAAACTAAACGGGGGACAATCGTTGGGATGAGGTTCGTGCTTGTCAACAGAGAGGCCAGCCCAGGCCATAGCTCACAGCAAGTGATGTCTAAGTATAGCGTTGGAGGAGGGAAGTGAGCCAGAGCTTGCCTCAGAGCACTTTCCCTGGTGTTAGACTCACAAGAAGCTTATAGATGGGACTGTTTGGGGTTAGAGCCAGTGGTTTGGGGGTACACTGTATTCTCAAAGAGACCTTAGAGCTCTTGGTGGGAAATGCAGACCTTCGAAGGCTGCAGGCTGTTTCTCAGGGGGTTGCAGAATGGAGGAAGCCACACTGGTGAAACCAAAGAAAAAGACTAGATCAAGTGACCTTCTCGCCTTGAAACATCCCTGCACACCCTCCAGCAGGTGGCCCTGCTGCCGCAAATCTGGGGCTGGCAGGATGAGCTCTGAGAACACAGCTTTGCCCTGTGCTGGCGCCTGGGGCATCCGCTTATCCATCATCCGCCCCCTGAAATTTCTTTCCCTTTCCTAGGTTGCCAACTGGGGTATCCAGAGCCTGGGTTTGTCTCTCTACGCCGACCGCCTGGTAGGCACCTACAGCGGAGGCAATAAGCGGAAACTCTCCACGGCCATAGCACTCATCGGCTGCCCACCCCTGCTGCTGCTGGTGAGGGCATCCTACCCTGAAGAGTTGAACCCTTGCTGCACGTTCTGGGTTGGAGAAATTAGCTCAGGGCTTGCGGCTTTAGAAAAGATAACAGTTAGCTTTGGTTGGACTTGCTCACGTATTACCCCCTTGGAGCAAATTAGCCCAGTGTTTGGTTACAGCACAGTTTGTCCTTCAATGCCCAGGAAGGCTCTTGAGAGTCAGCAGCTAAGAATGGGAAAGCTCTGTCAGCTCCAGGGAGTGTTGATATCTGGTTAGAAACCAGGGTGAGAAGGTCTGTGTGGGCAGGAGCATTGACCTGAGTCAGGGGCTCCGGTGACCCTTGCATGAATTATGAGCCGACCTGAGTCCCTGAGTCCACGCAGTCTGAGTTTTAAGAGGACACAGGACATAGAGAGGACTGGAATAGTTACCTGGGCTATCTCCCTCCCCTGACCCCTTCTAATTCTATTGTGTCTGTCTGTCTGTCTGTCTGTCTGTCTGTCTTTCTCTCTCTCTCTCCCTTCCTTCTTACCTTCCCTCCTCCTCCACCTCCTCCTCCTCCTTCTTCTTCCTCCTCTTCCTCCTCCTCTTCCTCCTCCTCCTCCATCATCATCATCATCATCATCATTATACAGTTTCTTTATTCCTGTGGTCTTAACTATAATTTACTCACAGCTGACATAGATCTATAGGTGTACACCGTGTTTCTGTACTCTCCAGTTTCCGTCCTGCCTTTATGTCCTACAGCTCATGGCTCTGTCTTTCCTTCTTGCTGGGAAGTGATTATACACATGTCCGTTAGCCCAGGAAGGATGCAGCCATGGAGAAAGACCAGCTCCGAGTCCGTATCTCCCTGTTTTCTCTCCTACTCTCCAGGATGAGCCCACGACAGGGATGGATCCGCAGGCACGCCGCATGCTGTGGAACACCATCGTCAGCATAATCAGAGACGGGAGAGCTGTGGTCCTCACCTCCCACAGGCAAGAGATCTCCAGGGAGGTGGAGGGAGTGGGAGCATCCCCTACCTTCGTTCTCACTTCCTCTCTCCTGCTCGACAGCATGGAAGAATGTGAAGCCCTGTGCACAAGGCTGGCCATCATGGTGAAGGGCACCTTTCAGTGTCTGGGCACCATTCAACACCTCAAGTACAAGTAAGCAGATGGAGGGGCATGCCTTTCACTACGTTCTGTGGGTTCAACCAGGCCTTCAGTTCATCATGGACGTTTGGTAAAATTGCCTCTTCATCCCACAGGCATTGGCCAACGATGGCTGGGCCAGATATGGATGTTCTATACTGGACTATAGAAGTTCATAGGAGTCTCTGGATGGGAGAGTCCTTACTGGGTCATTTACTGGGGCAGAGCCTAGTTGGAAAGCAGGAAGGCCACTGTCACTGATCTAGTCTCAATCCACATTTCCCTACAAATCCAGGACCCACGACCTGTTTTCTGAGAGCCCACAACCAATGCAGAGGTGATTAAGAGACCAAACAGCTTTCAGGCAGATGGATCTCTGTGAGTTCAAGATCAGCCTAATCTACAGTGTGAGTTCCAGGACAGCCAGGGCTACACAGAGAAACCTTGTCTCAAAGACAAACAAACAAGAGACCAAACAGCTTGAGAACCAATTTTCTTTTCTAGAATATTGTATCTGGTTGTTTAAAAACAAATGACCATATGTTGTTGTATGACAAACTAATACCAGTAATCTTGAGCAAGATGATCTTGTATCCATAAACATACAAGTGGTTAAAGATAATTCCTTGTTATTTATAGCTCGTGGGATAAAGCTAAGAATTCATTAAAATGAGATTATTGTAACATTGCTATTTTTCCTTGAATCCTGATATGCCTGGGAAAGACCTGATTTATAGTTCTCACTCGGGTATTTCACATGCTTATTAAGAGCCCAGGATATAAGCTATGAAGCCAGCCAGTGAAAAGGACAGAGAACCTAGCTTATCTGAGACCCAAATCTTGGGGAGTTCATGGAAGCATGTTACATGGAAAGCATTATCCTTTACATGCGTCAGAGTGGGATGATCTAATATGTAAGGGGCATTTGACAAAAGGGCACTTGGCCCTGACTTCTTCAGTAGCCACCATGTGGAGACTACACAGACAGCTATGAGGTAGCCACCGTGTGGTTACTACGTAGGTAACTATGAGGATATCATCCTGTGAGGTCACCAGACCCCTGTCACCAATGCCCCATGCCCAAATACTAAAGGACACCCCCCCACTTTCCCTCTCATTCCTCAATCTCCTCATGATAGTGGAGACAACGAGGAAGATGCTCCCATGTAAAGAGATGGCTGATTTCCTGGTACTGGAAGGCTAATAGCATCTTACAGGCAGAGACAGCCCTGGTTCATAGAAGAAGTCTGACAGTAACTTGAAGTGACATGATGTACCCCCCACGGAGGTCATCACAATCACCAGCCTAGGACGCATACTCTTTCTGGTGGACCATCTTGACCCACACAGGGGGACCAGCAGACCTAGAGGGAGAAGGGAGAAGCAGCACTGTTCACCTGCTGTGTATCATTGTGACAAGATACCTGAGAACAACCCACACCAAGGAGCAAAGGCTGGTCAGCTGCATGGCTGTGGGCCTGGGGCAGACTATCGTGGTGGTGGTGGTGGTGGTGGTGGTGGTGGTGGTGGTGGTGGTGGTGGTGGTGGTGGTGGTGGTGGTGGTGGTGGTAATATGTGCCAGAGATCTGGCATACCTCAATAGATGCCAGCGGGGGTAAGGCAGAGGAAGAGAGAACCTTTTTCAACCACTGGTTCCCATGACCTTCTTCCTCCAACTAGGCCCCACCTCTGATGAAATCATCCACGGATGGAGTGAGAGCCCCTCCTGATCATGTCACCCCTAAAGACCCACCTTTATTCAGTGTCGCAATGAGGACCAAGCTTTTAATACACAAGTCTCCAGGAGATATAGCCAAACCACAGCAATGCTCCACTTCCTTCAGAAACTTTCCTTAGGGAGTAGAGCCTTCCTTGCCTCTCCCTGGCAAGTCTTATAAAAGTCATCCAGTCTTCCCCACATCTGAGCGCTCCAGCCATGTCCTTTTATGGGGAAGGAGGACTAGGATCTCTACAAGGGGCTATAACCACCTTGAACTTCAGCAAATATGTCTATCCAACTTTGCCACATGGCTATTTAGACCTCCAGAAACATGTCAAACATGGTTTTTTTTTTTTTTTTGCTCCTAGTTTTAAATGTGCGTGGAAAATCAAGGCTGTGGGCATTGAATCCCTGTTATGCCCGATGAGAGTACTCTTTGGGGATTGTCTTAGCTCTAACAGTATTGTACACTGTGTGCACCTGCTAGGTTTGGAGACGGCTACATTGTCACAATGAAAATTAAATCCCCGAAGGACGACTTGCTTCCCGATTTGAATCCTGTGGAGCAGTTCTTCCAGGGCAACTTCCCAGGCAGCGTGCAGAGGGAGAGACACCACAGCATGCTCCAGTTCCAGGTCTCCTCCTCCTCCCTGGCCAGGATCTTCCAGCTGCTCCTGTCGCACAAGGACAGCCTCCTCATCGAGGAGTACTCCGTCACTCAGACCACGCTGGACCAGGCAAGTCCACCCAGGGTACTGAGTGGCAGGAGGTTGTGCCCGCTGCACTCCAGCACCTGACATGGGTAATGGGTGACACGGAAACAGACAGGTGTCTTCAGTTCTTACACACTGTTGGGCTCCGTCCCTTAGAGCAAATCTGGCATCTCAGAGATAATGTTCTAACAATATTCTCGTCATCCACAAACTTCACTGACTATTTTTACTTCGTTCTTTTCTTTTTTTTTTTTTTAAATTTTTCGAGACAGGGTTTCTCTGTAGCTTTTGGTTCCTGTCCTGGAACTAGCTCCTGTAGACCACGCTGGCCTCGAACTCACAGAGATCCGCCTGCCTCTGCCTCCTGAGTGCTGGGATTAAAGGCGTGCGCCACCGCCGCCTGGCCTTCGTTCTTTTCTTATGAGTTATTTTATGCTTGCTGGTGAATGGTGATGGCTGTTTTTTTCCTTCTTTCCAAATCAACTATTTCATGTGTAATTTACAAAGAACAAAATAGACATCTTTAATTGTATGGCTCAAGGAGTCTTTATATTTATTCTTTATGTAGGTGTTTATTTATTGGTTATGAATGTGATGTTCATGTGTGTGTATTTGCATGTCTGCAGGTACACACGAACATGTGTGAATATGCATGTTTAGGCCTGAGACTGATGTCAGAATCTTCCTTGATTGCTCTTCCTTCCTATTCTCCAAGGCAGGGTCTCTCAATCAAACCCAGAGCTTTCCAATAATCTGGCTACTCTTGTAAGCCAGTGTGCTCTGAGAATCTCTTGTGTCCACCTTCCAAGGCTGGAACTGTAGTGGACCACATGTACCAGGCATTTATGTGGGTGCTGAGGATCTGAACTCTGGTCTTCACTCTTGCGCAATGAGCATTTTAAATATTTTAATGGCCGAGCTGTCTCCATAGCCCATCTTTACTCTTCCCATCGTGTGTCCCTGAAATGCTTTCTGCCAGACTCCACATTTCCACTCTTCTCTCCCCTGGCAGTGCCTGGCAAGTGCCATCTCACTTTATTTTGAGGGTCTGTTATATGTAACCCAGGACTGTGTGCTTCCAAATGCTGGGACAACAGCCTTGTGCCACCATGTCTGGCGCCTTCTACTTTCTTTCTATAAAATTGTTAATATCCATCTATCTCTATTGATTAATCAATAATTAGATGGATAGATAAATGATTGTTGTAGAATATTATTATAAGGTGTGATACATTTGTTTAAGCTATGGATCATTTGTTTAATGATGCAAAGACAGGCTATATTCTTTTATGTTACATCTGTGAAGCTGTCTGAAACACCTGATTGATCTAATAAAGACAGGAATGACCAATAACTAACCAGGAGAAAGGATAGGTGGGACTGGCAGGCAGAGAGAATAAATAGGAAGAGAAAGCTGGGAAGAGAAAAGATCAAGGAGTGAGAAAGAGGAGGAGAGGAAGGCTCGAGGAGCCAGCCACCCAACTACATAGCAAGCCATGGAGTAAGAAGTAAAGAATGGTATCCAGAACTAGAGAAAGATAAAATCCCAGAGGCAAAAAGTAGACAGAATGGCTAGAAATAAGCCAAGCTGAGGCCAGGCATTCATAAGTAAGAATAAGCCTCCATGTGATTATTTGGGAACTGGGTTGCAGGCCCCCCCAAAAGAGTTTTAAAAAACTAACTATAAATGATAGATAGATAGATAGATAGATAGATAGATAGATAGATAGATATGGATATGGATATGGATATGGATATGGATATAGATATAGATATAGATATAGATATAGATATAGATATAGATACACATTCCTAAATCTATAAGTATCTGCCTTCTTTGGGTAGGGCCAGGTCTCTGGAGCTCCCCCACCATCCGCACCAGCATGTCTACGGCTGGTGTCCTTGTTTGGGTCCTTCTGTTTCCTATGACACCAACTACTCTGGGTACTTCATTTAAGTGTAATCCAATGTCACTTGTCATTTTGTTACTGGCCTAATGTCCCCAAAGGCTCAGTCACACACCATATCGTGTGTCAGAATTGCCTTCCCTTTTAAGACTGAGTAATATCCAATTATTCCTGTATTTTACTCATCTACCCATTCATTCATCAGTGAACTTTTGAGTTTTTCCTGATTTGTTGGGGGTTGGTTTCTTTTTTTATTATTTCAATTTCTTGTTTTTCATAAACACCCTTAAAGACCACTTGGTAAAGCAGTGAAATTAGGCAAGTGTCTACCTCGAGACAAGCTCACTCACCTGCTTATCTGCCCTTTCTCGCCACCCTTAGGCAGGTGACAGACACAGTGGACTCCTTCCGCAGGAACTGTGGCCACACTGCCTGCAGAACAAAGAGCACAGCAGAAAGCGGCTGCCTTTGCTTGCTTTCTGTTTTTGGAGAGCCAGGACTCTGCCAACTGCCATAGTTATCCCAATTTCTCACGTCCACGGCCCTTGGAAGCCTCTAGCAAGAACTCCCTTGGCTCAGGAGTCTAAGAAGCAAGCCTGGTCCAGGGCACTGCTCTGCGGGCTTGCGGCAAGCTAGAGAAGGAAACAAACTCTACCTGCAGGGCTGCCTGTCAACTGTGGGAAACGGAGCAAAGCCAGGAAGACGATATGGAGTCCCATCTTTCTGGAAATATCCACGTTCTCTTCTCTTGCCCGCAGGTATTTGTGAACTTTGCTAAACAGCAGACTGAGACCTATGACCTCCCTCTGCACCCTCGAGCTGCTGGAGCCAGCTGGCAAGCCAAGGTACGTCCTGCACCCTTTCCTAGTCACTGCTTAGACAGGGCCTCAGCGCAGGGGCCTCAGTGCAGGGGCCTCGTTGACCCACTGGGCTTGAGGGCTCCGAGGTTCAGATGAGGCTCTGCAGAAAGCACCCAAGCCATACCTCCACCGTCCCTATCCTACATGCCTCCCTCCTGGCTTGATCCCGGCCACTCTCCACTAAGAGCAGTTCTCAGCTGAAGACTTTACCCAGGAGCTGAGTGGCTCCCTTCTGTAATCTGAAAACCATTTGGACAGTGTGGGTAAATCACATTTTAAAGGCATTTATTCATGAGTGTGCATGTGTCTCTGTCCAGCTCAGGTTGTCAGGCTTGAGGTGCATGCCTTCACCCAGTGATGCCACCTCACAGGCCCGAGGGTTATGCTGAAAGGAACTTTCCTGAATGTTCTTGCTAGCAGCATAACAAACAAAGAATCTCCAAACTTCAAGCTTTAGGAATAAACAGGAAAAGAGAGAATACTGAAATATCTTCATCGTTGGGATCTTGACAACACTTCCTGGTCACACCCTTGATCTTAAAGAGATGGGGACTAGCTGGCATTCTTTTTCAATGGTAGACATGTCTGGTTAGAGTCGGCTTGGACCAGTTTGGGGAGGGTTCTTCACAGAAGTATCAAGATAGTGAAGAAACGATAGAAAGTGCAAGTTCTGGACCAAGATATGCCTGGAGTGGACTTCCAGTCCTGCCCTAGCACAGTGCCTGCCTGCGTCAGGAGCACACCCACCCGTCCTGGTTTCCCAGGAGGACAGAAATCTAGAGAAAGGAGTGGGCTCCATGCCAGTGGCCAGATGGCATAAGCCTGAGACTTTCTTTACAAGGATAAAAAAACCCGCTATTCTGTCTGGACCACTGGACAGCAAATCAAATCAACTCAAAGTATTTCTAACAAAATAAAAAACCCCAAACCAAACAAACGAAAAACATGTGAAAAGCCTTGTTTTCCATAGACTTCTCATTCCTCCCAAAAAATCTCTTGATTGCGATAAAAGTCAAACACAACTGATGAGCAAGCAGGGCATGTCTTTCCCAGGCCGTACTTGGAATGAAGAATTCTCCACCCCATAGCTACTTGGCAAAGGTTAACTTTGTCTCCCCATCTGTCACCCTCCAGAGGGCCCAGAATGCCCAAGTAAAGGTGCCTGTCCAGGGCAGCTTCCTTTTACCAATCTTCTGACTACTGTCTCTCAGTTTTAGATCTCGCGGTTGCTGTTGATAGAGGCTGAAAATATTCTTTGAGAATCATTTACGGTCACGAGTCCCTGTTATCACAGAGAACACATAGTTAGCAAAATTATTTCTAAGAACTACCTGTGGCCCCTTCCACATGCCACAACATACTCCTTATCTTACTTGTTTGTTTGTTGACTGGATCTCACTGTGTGGTCCGGGCTGGCTCCAAAGCCGTAGTCTTCCTGACTCGGCTTCCCAAGTGCTGGAATTGCAAGAGCGGGTTGCCATTGCCAGCGGCACAGTCCCTCACACAGGGCTAACACCAGCTTCATTAGGACCAGGCCAGGGTGCCCATGGTCTGTGATTTGGACTGGTTAAGATCATGGTACTATTGTGTTTGTCACTTGAACCTGCTGTAACAGGTTGGCTACATTATTACTATTGTAATATTATACTCAAAAATCTAACTCTGATCTATGACATACCATCTTCAATAAAAGTTTATAGAAGTTCTTTATATGGTATTATATATAAATCGGTCATAAAACATATAGTAATTGAGTTCTTATCTACACTATACTGGTACCATCTCAGGGCCTGTTCTCATCCCTACATCTCATTGTCTACTTCTTAAAAGATCTGTGTTTCAACCAGATAACTGAACAAGTCAAAATTTACATAGACTAGGAAGGCCTACCTCCAACCCTCTCCTTCCCCTGAACCCCCACCTCCCACCCCTACCCCACAGCTGGTATTGGATCATGAAGACAGCCTGCATTTGTGATTAGAGATTATGTACCTCTAGTTAGAAAGGTTGAGTTAGAAAAATGTCTCTTTCTCCAGGACCCTGAATTTAGTACACAAGTTTGATCTGGATGCATTACCATGAACTCCACTGGAATCTCTCTCACTTGAGATATATCCCAGTCAAAGGATCTTTCTTCCCAGGAGCCATGTCTGTATGAACTGGACAAAGAGAAGTCTAGATTCAGGGCTGAGCCTAAATGATAGATTCTTAGCTTTTAAGTCAGCAAGGTGATAGTGACTTTCTTGGATTAAAAAAATGCCCAGGGGTTTCTGGAGAGATGGCTCAGTGGCTAAGAGCACTGGTTGCTCTTCCAGAGGGCCAGAGTTCAATTGCCAGCACCCACATCAGGGAATTCACAACTGTCTGTAACTTAAGTTCCAGTGGATCTAAATCCCTCACACAGACATACATGTAAGCAAAATACCAATGCACATAAAATAAAAATAAATTATTTTAAAAAAAAACGCCTAGGGTTGGGAATTTAGCTCAATGGTAGAAGTCCTTGTCCTACTATAAGGATCGAGGTTTGGACCCCAGCATGGGAGTAGAGAACGAAGTCTCCAAAACAACCACTAGAAAGAACACCTAGGGATAGCTTATGTAAGTCTATAAGAAATGTGGACCTTAGACCGCATCCTGTCTGCCCACTCCACAGCTAAGACCTTAAGGCAGCCCAGAACCTCGGCAGTCAAATAGACGCCTTCCTAGTCCCTACAGCTGAGCTTCCTCCAGAAACTGCCAAGGCGGCACCTTGAAACCTAAAACTCCGTTGCTCCAGAAAGTCAGGACGAGAAGTGTCCCGCTGACCTTCCTCAAGCTGATTCTTCTTATGTTGTTTCCTATAGCTTGAGGGGAAAACTGGGCAGCCGGAAACTCAGGAGCCTTTGCCCACGGAAACAACTGGTTAACGAAAACAGCCCTGTGGCAGCAGAAGGCAAACACACGAGGCGCCCACAGTGAACTCAAGGAGGCTCTTCCAGAAGGAACCCCAAACTCACCGACTCACCGGAATCCTTGCTGGCAAAGCTGACCTCCCTGAAGACAGTTGCCTTTCCATCCAATCCATCAGAGCAGTCCCCTGCTCAGTGACTTTGTTTAGGGCCACTTTCACTCTGAGGGGCTCTGCTTTTGTGGGGTGGGAGGAGGGTGGGTGTGTGGGGGTGATGGGAAGGAGGAATAAACTGCGCTCTCCTTGTGAACTACTCGCTAATCGCCCCCTAAACCCCGACCTCACCAATGTTCAGCATATGCTATAGTTTCAGACTTTCTCAGAGGGTAAGTGTACCTCAACCGCTGTGAGCCCCACGAGAGTCAGTGACACAGCCATACTAGCCATGGCAAAACCTTGCAACAGTGCAGTGGAAGTGAAAGGGCTCATTGTAATGTCACATCCAAAGTCTTCACAGGGTTTACGAAAAACACCCACTGGATAGCACAAGTGTGCACTATCCGAATGTAAAGTTTGTTTTGTTTTTTGTTTTTTTTTGATCAGCACATCTGCGTGCCTTCTCATCAGGTGCAATTAGGACAGAGCACAAAGGGACGTGAATGAGCAGGGCCGAATCTTATTAGGATTATTAGACCTCCCATGTGAAAGATTCTGTGGTAGTGAAAGCTTTGCAGGTCCCGTGGCGTGTGGGTGAGGTTCAAACCGCAACGGGTAGGGGGACACACGAATATGTCATGCAGACTGACTGCAAAGTTCTATTAAAAAGAGGGTCTAGAGGGGAGGAAGCGAGAGCGAGAGGGAGAGGGAGAGAGAGAGAGAGAGAGAGAGAGAGAGAGAGAGAGAGAGAGAGAGAGAGAGAGAGAGAGAGAGAGAGAAAGCAAAAAGATAACACCTGCTTGCCTCGGAGGGAAGAAAGCGAAAGGGGTCTTTGCATCTAGGACCCTGGGCTGGCCAGGGCACTGCCTGGGCACATCCTGTCAGATGACGGGGCAGGCCAGCATAATCCTAACAACATGTCCTTGTAAAATGCTGGGTCTCCTCTGCTCACTGCTCTAGTTGGCAGCGTGAACCTGGGGGAGGGGGCTTGAAAATGAGGGGGACTAGAGTCTCGTGTAACAGCCAGCCAACTCTAGTCAGAGCATGAGACCATTTAAAGTCTGAGGGTTAAGAAGGGTCACCTGAGAAAAGTTCTCATGAGTTCAATCTATGCAATCATAAGGACGAGCCACACATGGCAGAAACATGTCTGTCCGTGGAGGCACCTAAACAAGTAACAGTAGACAGTTGTAAGGAATCATCTGAAGTGAACTCACTCCTGCCCGCTCCACCTGCCAGGGGCACGAAAGCACACCCAAGAACAACCCATGTTGTGGAGAAACAGATCATAAGACTCTTGTTCCCTTGGAGCTTTCTCACGAGGGCTCAGAAATCTCCTCCCTCGGCTTCCGTCATGGACCACGTTCGGTGCTGGTGAGTGTATCTGCCGCAGGGGTATTAGAAGACAATGGCTAACAAAGCATCAGGAATTAGAAACTAATCTTTTTCTTTGTAGTTTTTTTTTTTTTTTTTTTTTTTGGTTTTTGAGGCAGGGTTTCTCTATCTAACAGTCCTAGCTGTCCTGGAACTCGCTTCGTAGACCAGGCTGACCTCGAACTCATTGAGATTCACCTGCCTCTGCCTCCTAAGTGCTGGGATTAAAGGTGTGTGCCACCACCACTGGGCAAAACTAATTCTTTTAATCCAAACTTTGAAACACCTGGATAAAGAAAGGGAGCAGATTTCTTCCAAGATGGTCTCCCTGTCAGAGCTACAGATGGTGTTTGTTTAAACCCTCTCTGCAGAAGTGCTTCTTAGGTTACATCATGGTGTGGCTGTTCTCCAGAGCCCTGGAGGGCTTGGGGGGGGGGGGGAGACGCTGAGGCCCAGTAATTGCCGCTGACAAGAGACACGGGATATAGTGAGCACGGTTGGCCAAGTCTGTAGTTCACCCTGGCTAGAGGTGGGTTAACAACTCTGAGGTCAGGCAAGAGAAGACTACCCAAGGAGGAGACTGGAGGAGTCATTTACTGTATGAGGGTTTCAGGGAAGCATGGAGTCGGTTCTCTTCTGCCATGCAGGTCCAAGGAATCAAATCTGGGTCATGAGGCTGGGTAGTAAGCATCCACTGCGCCATCGTAAACGCTCTGTAAACTATTCTGAGTGATAATTTATTCCAGTTCTTGTCGGTGGAGTTTTTCCATCTGGACCGCTGGCTCTCAAATAACCACGCAAAGACTCTCATTAATTATGAAAGCTCACCAATAGCTTAGGCTTGTTTCTAGCTAGCTCTTCTAACTTAAGCTAACCCGTTTATGTTACTCCGTGTGCTGTCCCAAGGTTCTTTTACGCCATCTGTGTACTTTTCATACTGCTCCTTCTGAGTCTGGCTGGTGACTTCCCAGACGCCACCCTTCTCCCCAGCAGTCTCTCTGCCCCCCCAAATCCTGCCTCGCTACTGGCCATTTAGTATTTTTTTTTTTATTAAACCAATCAGAGTGACATATATTCACACAGTGTAGTGGTGGAATATTCCACAACTGCCCTCATTCCACTACTAGATTGCAAGATCCTAGACCTTGAATCTTACTTGTCTTTGTAGCCTCCACTGTTTATATCTCTTGTCTGATGTTTTGATTACATAATAGCTTTTCAGTAAATAGTGCGTGGGTAGCATGAAAATGCTAATGGGGAAACCAGCGGGCAGAATTGGATGCATAATTGGTTGGACGCGGTGCAAAGGGACACTATGAGAGCAGTTATCTAGGGTTTGAAGATGGCGATAGAGGGGCATCAATTTCAGTACAGGGCCTTCTGAGTGCTTTGTCTCTCCACAGCCACACATTCCTGCAGCCCCACCCCTCCTCAGCGGCTGCCTTTGAGCTCACAACTCCGAAGAAAGTGATCTAAAAGGCTAGGATGTGGGAAGGCTGCTACCGTGTGATGCCCAGCCATTTTCCTCCTAGAAGAGGGTCCGATTTGTTGCACAGTTGCCCACATAAGAGCTGCATTTCTGAAACTTGCACTAAGCGTTCCCTCTAGGCTGACCAGTCAAAAAGATGAGTGCAAGATCCGAGCAGAAAAGCCCCTCAGATCCACCTTCCCAGTTCTGTAACCCAGCAGCCCAGCTTCAGCCATAAAAACATCCTGAAGGACGACGCAGCATGCCAGAGCACAGTTGGAAGGGCCCTGGGTCCCTGGGTGGCATGATGTATATGGAACAGACATGCTCAGAAACACAAACACAGCACATCTCAGAGCCGTGGCTCAAATCAGTGTCTTGAGTTCTTTGGATTGAATTAAGCAACTCTTAAATTCGACTGGGTACAGAATGAACTACATCCAATATCTAGCCGGTTCAGATCCATCAGACGCCTCTGCTAGGAACATTTTGATAATGGGTTTATCTAATCAAAACAATCTTCTGGGATTAACTTTATGCATAAAAATTATAGACCCAGGGCTTATATAATAAATGTCTTGCTCATTTAGAGATTGAATCATGCTAAAAGTATCATCGTGGGCCAGAAATGGCGGTGTTCATCTTTAATTCCAGCCCTCTGCAGGCAGAGGCAGGCTGATGTCTCTGAGTTCCAGGACAACCAGGGTTAACAAAGAGAGAATCTCTGAAGAAGTCAGTCTTGTTTGCCTTTGCTTGGCAAGGTCAACAGGGAACCAGAAGAGTAAAGTTTTATTAACAAGTCCTTGCTTTCTGTGGGAAGTTCACTAAAACCCAAACAGCCCTTTTCAGTCAGTAGACTAGCAACCCCTGAAACTCTTCCCCTGCCGCCTTCCATCTCCAGCTAAAATGTTGGGTTTTAGACTGCCTCTTCGTTGCCTTTGTCAGGATGATGGTGCATAAGCTCACATAATGAGAAAGAACCAAGTCAGTCCAGTGATTACATAAGCAATTACTCAGCTGCCAGCGGGGGCTCTCAGGTCTTGGTTATATACTGCTGGGAAGCACAATGTATCTTTTGGGTTTTTTTTTTTTTCTGCTGTTGTTGTTGTTTTTGTTTTGTTTTTCGATTTTTTTTCCTGACAGTGTTTCTCTGTATAACCCCAGCTGGCCTGGAACTCGCTCTATAGACCGGGCTGGCCTGAAACTCAGATCCACCTGCCTCTGCCTCTTGAGGACTGGGATTAAAGGTGTATGCCACCACCACCTGGATTCAATATATCTTTTATAGGTGTATCATGGATAGGTTTTCTATATTTGGTAGTAATTATGTTGGGGTTTTATTTGTTTATTCTTTCTCAGTGCTGGGGATCCGATCCAGAGCATAGCACATGCTAGACAAATGCTTCCTACTGCGCCACAGCCCAGCCCACAGTTGGGATATTTGGGGGAGGGGGGGGTGGATGGATCTCTTGTGCACTGAACTAAGTCTATTTTGGTTTTTGGGTTTTTTGGTTTGGTTTTTTTGTTTTGTTTTGTTTTTCTCACTAGATGTGGTTCTGAACCCTTGCAGCATACAAGGGCTATGGGAAAGTGGTTTTTCTCACTGGACTCTGCCCAGGAGCTTTGTGGAGCCCTAGGTAAACAATTTTTAACCTATCTTTGATCAAACATTCTCTTTTCCAGCTGCCGTGGGGGCATGTTGGGTTAGCAGGGAATGTCCATCCCCTATCCTGCCTCCATACGCATCTCCTGCCTTTCCCGTTACTTTCCCTGAAATGTTTTGTCAGGTATTAAATGGAATACCATCTGAGAAATGCATCAGTAGGCAATATTTCTGTATGAATACCATAGAGCATGTTTACATAGACCTACATAGTATAGCCTATAAAGATAACATGGGCTAGCCTATTTTTTCGCGGCTATAAAATGTGCAGTGTGTTACCATATCACTACCGCAGGCAAATGTAACACAGGAGGAGGGTCTGTTTATACAAACAGAAAAGGCACTGAGGAAACTAAAACTTGAAGGAACTCAGCAGTGTTAGGAGTCAGGCACTGTGCTGACCCCTGTCACCTGGCAGGGGGAACCCAGGCAGTACTCCTGCCAGCCTAGGGTCCTCTGGTTGCTGTGTCACTATGCAGGTATAAAGGTCCCTAAAGAGTCAAGCTCCACCCTCTCCTTATCTTTCCCACTGCTCTTCTGAAGAGGCAGGCTGGTCCTTGCCTCTTCTTCCTCTTCCTCTCTGTATTTCTCTTTCCCTCTCCCCTCCC